CCCTACCCAAAAGAAGGTTGGGGAGGGTGTCTCAAGGTAGTTGTGTGTGTGTGTGTGTGTGTGTGTGTGTGTGTGTGTGTGGTGGGGGGGTCTCAGTATTGTCACCCTTACTTCTGCGCTGCCTTCAGAGCTGGGTAGCCAGAGAGCGGTGGCTGCAGGCCAGCTGCCCAGCTCTGAAGGCAGCGCCCCACCTGCAGCAGCGCAGAAGTAAGGGTGACAATACCATACCATGCCACCCTTTCTTCTGCGCTGCTGCCTTCAGAGTTGGGTCAGGACAACTATAGCTACAGCACTATGAAATTTCAGATTTTAATATCTGAAATCATGAAATTTATAAATTTTAAAATCCATTCACCATGAAATTGACCAAAATGGACCATGAATTTGGTAGGGCCCCAACAATCAGAAATCAACCAAATGAGACTCTGACGTAATCTTCCAAGCTGAAATATTGACTGGATTCCTAAACAAATTATATTTATTTTAACTTTCTTTAATTTCAGCCACCAATCCTGCAGATGAAAAACAAAAAAGAGCTAAAGACTATCAGCTCAATACTAGCCTTCTGAAAGCAAATCTGAAACAATTAGTAACAGGCGACACCTGCAGTCTCTATTAAACAAATGTATAGAAAAATGTCAATTTGTTTACTTCTTTGTACCATATGACACAACATAGGGTACCAAGGACTCAATTTTAAAAAAAGTATGTGCCTGATAAATATGCTGATTCCACATCTGGGCACTTTATTCATCACATAGGTGAGTAAAAACACGCTTTTTCGAGGCTCTGTGATGATTTAAGACCCTAAACGTGGGATCTGGATGTGTTATTTAGGCAATCACATGAAACTAGACTATGATTATTGTATAGTCTGACTATATATGTCTGCCTTCTAGTCTGCCACATTGACTGTATATAGATGCATAAATATTAAGGATAAACACCTTTCCATTCATGTGCAGAAAAAACAGATTGGAATTTATTAATACATTTAATATACTGAAGTACACATGCATTTGATAATACAATTCTTAGAAAACTAAAATAAAAAGAGAGATCTGCTCATTTTAAGACAGATAATTCTTAAAAGTTATACTGGCATTGTTGGGAGGCCTGAACATGGCAAAATTTACATAATTTCCCATTACCCTGCCTCACCCCAAAAAAGCAAATAGTTTTCCTTTAAAAAGCAAATCCAAGATCTGAGTACATCAACTAAGTAGACTGCAATTACTTAATGGAAATTAAATAATTAAATTAAAATATTTTGTTGACAGCATTTAAAGGGGTCCTATATATATATATATGGAGGATATACTCAAAACAATTAAAATACATTGTCAGATACATGTCAAGAGTAAATTGTCTGCACCATTCAAAGATTTTACCCTAGGAAAAGAAATTCACTTTACTACAGTGTAAGGGCCAATTCTGCAGTTCATATGATTATACAGCACTCTCTCTGAAGTCAATGGGAATTCTGTATGTATGAGGTGTTAAGTGAGTATGCATTTAATTGGTATAGCAGACTGGTGAACTGATTATAACTGCATTTGCTTTTGTAATATAAAATAAGTGTTATGTTAAAGCACCCTTCAATAATTTATTAACAACATTCTTAAATATAGGGGCAGACCCACAGCTGGTTGTCAGAGCTCTTTCAACTTCAATGGAACTACAGCAATTTACTCCAGCTGAGGCCACCACAACACCTGTGTCAGATAGCTAAACATTAAACCCATTTTACAGATAACGAAGTGACCCAGTAAAACTGAAGATATTCTCTAAGCATTCTACAGTTTAGGGAATGTGTTTTATTCATTTTATTCATTTAGAAAGGCATCTACTATCCAGAAACAAGGCTATATGAGCAGAGGAGACAAATAACTAGCTCCATATAATCACTGAAACCTTAAGAATTTTAAAGCATTTGAACTTAAACAAGTGTATTCATGTCTGTGACAGAAAATCCAATTTGATTAATTAGTTTAAGACTGAAAATCTATTTTGAGAGAACACCCACAATTATATTATAAATAAGGCAAAATATTTTCAAAGTGATCTGCAAAAACCAACACATTTCAGTAGAAAGTACTGAATGTCCCCAGCAGTAAGAGGGGCATTTCAACATGTTAATAACTTACGCTTAGCACATTTTACCCCTTCTTGCATGTCCAAAGAGTACCGCTCCCCATATTTGCCAGCTGCTATCTGATGCTTCACCTCTGCATGTATTTCACTAAGGACATCACATCACCATAGATCAACATGGAAGTATACAAGATGCTTATAAAGGTAAGTCCCATTCTTTTCTGGTACTGTGCCTCTTTCAGAAAGTTTAATATTCTTATGTTTTACCATTTATGATACAAAATAAGAAAATTTTAAGTTTTCATGACAGGTACTTTGGACGGAAAAGGTACATATTAAGTAAATTATCTTATGCATGGACTCCCCCACATAGCAAGTGTAGGAGAGGCACTTCAACAAACTCAGAAGTCACTTAGGAAAAAAAAACTAACATTTGCAGATCACTTTTAAAGAAGTCTAATTGTTTTTGTCCCTGTTTTACAAAGCTTCCATAACAACTAAAATCTTGTTTGTATCTAGGAGACAATCTGCTCCTCTTCACAATGGTTATTCCTTTACTTACCAGGAGAGTATTTGCTCATGTGTAAATATCAGCCTTGATTCTTCCTACATTAGTATTTATTATCATGTGTATAGAAAACAGAAATTTTTGGGCTTTTAGATTTCAGAATAAATTGCATTACAATTGCAATAGTAAATATTAACCATATTTTATGTAAGGATAAGATTCTTACCCAGTTAACTTTTTTCAGAGGTAGAAAATAATAGTAGTGGCAGAAATCAAGTATCAATGTATAGGAACTAAGAAGCTGAGTGTAGAAACATAGCTGCAGAAACAGCCAATGATTGTCTTCACCAACACAATTGTTAATCCTGCAGCAAAACAAAGCAAACATACAAGGCTTTTTAAATGTTATAGTTAGGCATGATGAGTACCAAAGACAAAACAACTTAACTTATTTATAAATGCACTGCTAGATTTGGTAATGTAGAGGTCATATGCAACTACAAGTGAATACCCACAGCATCCATTCTACAGAATGATGTGGCTTCTCTATTAAGGCAATGGCAACCCTGCTTGTAGTTTAAAATTTGCCTGCATTTTAATTTGGTGCATAGTGTGCAAGACTGGAATTTCTCTTTGTTAAAATACAAATTTAATGGTAAGCTCTTAAGGGCAGGAAACATGTTTATCTTTCTGTTTGTACAGAACCTAGCACAAGGGGGCCCTGATCCTGATCTGAGAGCATTAAAACAATATTTTAAAAAAAACAACAAAAAACCACAAACAAGTCTTGGTTGTTTCTCAAAGTACAGAATTGTATTAGTTGATTATGTTCATATTTCAAGTTTCCACATATACTGATCACATAGAATGGTATATGCTTCTTCTGAAGAGACTCAGAATGAAAAAAACTCTTTTTGCCTTGAACACCAAAGGCGTTGCGATTTTAAAAACATTTCAAAATTATAAAACAGCCTGCAAAAATGTCACAGCAATTCATATTTTTCTACCACTTACTAACACAGATTACCTCTAAAGTGATACAAAATTGACTTTTGTTCTATATAAATTTACATAAATTCAATTCAGAAAGTGGAAAATTGGGAATGCAAATACTATACATATTGATAAATGCTGGCAAAAAAAAATCTCAAATATGCAAGAGAAAGGTTGGAGGAACGAGAAGGCATGATACCCAACAAAACAAGAATATTTCCCAACTTCCTTATCAAAACGGTTTCAAATAATCCTGACAGTTCAGATATTTCAACTTTCCTAATTAACCCTTTCAGCAATCTAGGCCTAGTCTATGCTACAAAAGTTTTACTCGTATAAATACATCAGTTAGGAGTGTGATTTGCTTTTTAATTATACTGGTATAAAGCCTAGTATAGATACAGTTATACTGGTATAAAAGGTGCGGTATACCGATATAGCTTATCTTACTTCCCGAACCAGATAGAAGTTATAGTGGTAGAAGCAGTGGTGTAGGTAGGCTAGGAAAACTGGATGGACCCCGCTTTTGGGTAGGCGAGCAATAATGGGGGGCCAACTGGGCCAGGACAAGTGGGGGTCCTCCCCACCCCTTCTTCCTGCAGTCCCTGTGCGCTCCTGCCAGGGAAATGGGGTCGAGGCACAGGGGCTTGCCCCGCTCTGTCCGCCCGCTGGGGAGCGGGGTCTGTGCGCGGGGGCTTGCCCCACTCCGCCTGCCAGCGGGATCCAGGCACCATTTGGGTGGGCCTGGATGGTAAGTGGGTAGGCCATGGCTACACCCCTGGGTAGAAGTACTTTTCTATTGGTATAACTGCATCAACAATAGAGGGTGGGAGGAGGGGTTGTTGCTTTAACTATACCGATACAGTTAGAGAAACTTTCTAGTGTAGACAAGCTTCTAAGGCCAGGTCTACACCAAAAAGTTAGGTTGACCCAGCTATGTTGCAAAGGGGTGTGAAAAATCCACACATTAAGCAATGTAGTCAAGCTCACCTAACTCCCAGCGCAGACAGCGTCAGTTTGACAGAAGAATACTGCCTCTCGGAGAGGTGGATTAACTACAGTGACAGGAGACTCATTACAGTTAATATAGGATAAGGAGTGTCCACATTGATGTGCTGCAGTGTTTCTAGTGAAGACACAGCCTAATCCATACATTGACTCTAATGAGAATTGGAGCAAGCCCATAGATAGCTAACAAATTAACTACCACCACAAAATATTCAAACTGTTTTGGTTATGTCTTTTTTTTTTTTAAGTCATCCCCTGACGCTTTAAACTTTTAATTTGTAGCACAAACATGAGAAAATGCAAAACAAGCTTTTATATTTCAGTTCAGTTGAAAGCAAATTATCTCACCATCTGAGAAAACTAAATTGTGAATATCTGATTTTTATATTGAGAAGCTGCTCAGCTCTAGCAATTTTGTTTTTTAAAGTTGCATTTCCCAACATTAAACATTTCTTTCATCAAAATTTGTGAAAGTTCCAGGAGCATCTCACATTGGCAAACAGCAGCATGACAGAACAATCACGATTACATGTTACATAGCAAACAATTCTCACTATCAATGTTTGATTGCAGGCACAAGTACATCACAATGAAAATCCTATCTACCCTCCTGCACTAGATACCTTTAATGATGAAGTATTACCGTCAGAAAGAGAATGCTTCAATAAAATTGTACTGTAGTAAAATTGTACTGTAGTAAAAGTACCCTGAACAATCAAAAACTGCAATTTAAACAAACAGTAAATAAGGAAATTTTCTGTGCAGCAAGAACTTATTCAATCAATGGATCCAGTCTTACCACGGACAGTGGTGATCCATCCTTCTAACACAGTGTCCACAGCGACTGCAGTGATGGGATCGCTTTGGTCTCATCATATTACATTTATTACATAGTTCCCAAAATTCTCGTTCTAGAGAGAAAATTGAAACCAGGTTAAATAAAAATGAATGTCTGCTGAAGTGCCACTAGTTTTCAGATCTCACCAGTTACACATGCTTGAGCTTCTTGAAAAAAGATATTCTTCCTACAGAAATCAGCATGTAAGAACCTCTCCCCGACTCTTCTCTCAACTGCTCTAGGATGGTTGGCATACCTCTACCACTGTGGGCTGATTTTTACTCCTAATCCCCATCTCTCCCTACTATTTTTAAGAGTCACCAATACAACATGAAACTCTTGGCTAGGAACAAGGTAGGAACTGGGAAATAAAGAATTTTTGTGTTTCTAAAACTATTCTGTTCCACTTGGATTGCTTTTTTTCTAGCACACGTCACCAACAGTGTTAGCTCTAAAGCTCAGCCAGGGTATCAAATCCCACTGCCATCCCCAGCTCAATCCAAAAGAATTGACCAGTAAAATAATAAAATACAAAATAGATTTCTGAAAGGACTTCCACCTCAGGATCTCAAAGTGCTTTCAACATTAAACAAACATCATAACATCCAACAAGGAGGAATTTTATAGATGGGGGACCCGGAGGACAGAGACGGTGTCCACTAAGTTTGGGAGCTAAACTTGAGATACCTAGGGACTGCTTTTCAGAGGTACTGAGCTCCCACAACTCCAGCTGAAGTTAACATGAGCTAACATTGCTAGGCATTTCTGAAAATACAGATATCATTTGCCTCAAGTTGGGTATCTAAAACCAGTGGACACTTCTGAAAATTTAGGCCTCAGAAAGCTGGTGAAGATCACATTGTTTCTAGGATGAAAACACACTGAGACCTTAGTGCTATCAATCATTTAAAATGTATTTTACTTTTTTTTTTTAAAGGAGTGCAGTAAAGGTGCTAGGATTCCTATTTGTAACAAGTGCCATCATCTTTTTATTTTTAATCTGAGAAAAATCAAAACTTATAAAAGGAAAGCAACACCAGTTTTCATTGCAATGCATTCTGAAAGTTTACATGAGGAAATGCTTTTCACTATAATAAATGATGTATGGAACAAATTTTAAAATTCAATTTGACACTTCTTGAGCCTCCTGCTGGCAGCTCCCAGCTTTCCCATTTTGCAGAAAAATGACATTTGCACACTGGTAGTACAGAAGCCCAATACCCAAGATCACTAAACTAGTAATAATGCCAGATGGAAACTGATTTACAATCTGTTCCCATAAAGCCAGTGTCACCAAGGTGTCACTCTTTAATAAGACAGCTACTGTTAACAGGAGGCTCAGAAACACCCGAAGCTAGTTTTCAAATATAAGTTACACTAAGCAAAAAATGTATCTCACCATATCAACCTGCACAATACCACAGTGCTGAAGTGAAGCTTAAATATGATTTTTTGGTGTCAGTCCTGTCACTAATGGGACTAGATGCAAAAACATGATCACAATTGTCTCTAATTGCCCACTTGTCAGCAGTATCCGCAGAGCTCACTAAATGAATGAGGCATGGAGAATGAACCAGCCTCTCAGTTGATGGAAATGACTGCAATGTCTCAGCATGCTGCCTGGGCTAAGAACAACTATGCCTTCCTCTCACTAAGGAAAGGGGTGGTGATGATGGTACAGGCTCAATTGGGAAGCATGGCATTTAGAGGTTGGAAGCCCAATGCCAGCAGAAATGCTAAGACTCAAAGCGAACATACCAGGACACCAAAGATAGGAACCTGCAAGTCCAGTGCCAGATAGACTACTTATCCATTCCACGAGAAACTGGATGTGATATTTAGCAAAGATCCCACCAACAAGCTAAACATGGAACTAGACAGCAGCAGAGCTCTTGGAGACAAGACAATGACAAGACCTCTGACAACCAGGAGAACCCAAACCCGGAGAAGAAGTGGCAGCCCCTACCAGTCAGGAACAGCAGATCCAGGAGCATGAGCAACAGTACCCTGAGGCAGAGAAAGGGAACGAGCAAGCTTCACCATCATTGCCTGCCGTCTCCATCATCTTCTGGGACCCCAGAAATTTCTACCTAATCCTAAAATATGTCCTAATCTGACTAGGTCTTTAGAGAGGGATCCAGATGACATCACCACCTCCAATTAAATCTGGAATACCACCTGGGATGTGAGACTTTGCCACCCTGCCTCCCCCAATGTGTCCTTTTCCTTCCCCATTTTGTTTCTTCTCTTTCCTATCTCTCTTATTTTAATTTCTGTCTAATAAGAGTCTGGCTTAGCCAGCCAAGACTGTATATTTTGCAAGCCTGTGACCAGAAAGAGGGAGCTGAAAGCAATGCCCTAAACAGACCAATGGTAGAACAAGTTTGCTAGATCTCAGAGTTGCTGATAAATCCATGTGCCATGCCTGTGTTTCTTCAGCAGTGAGGTTGCAAGTGAGAGTCAACACCAGAGACTGAAGCTCCCTCTTTGCTCTTTTTATCTCTCCCCTTTTGTGTATTTGTCTTGTTTTGTTTTCTAGGAAACGGGATCAGACTTCAGCAACAGCAGCTCTAGCCCATCTCAACTAACTTCTTTTCTTTTCTCCCAAAAGGACCTTATTAACGTCTTTAGTACCATTTAAGAGATTGACAAAAAAAGGGGTTTTTCCTTCTAAAATCTCTCCACAGCCAAAGTCAAATGGAATCAGAAATTTTGTTAAAATGACAGCCTTACTTAATACTTCACATTTCAAATGCTTTAACTGTTTGTCCTTCTTTTTCTTTAATAAAAATTTTTAAAGCATTTTTAATGGTGAGTTTGCCATAGTACTAAACAGACAAAGGTCTCTGTATACCAAACCGGGGTTAAACCTGCTTAATGTTGGACAGTTTCAGGGTCAAGTTAACACCTTTAGCTCTGTGGGGCCATATATTCCACCAACATTAATGCCACAACACCGTTAGTGTCATATTACTAGAGAGAAGAGCTCCACTTTGGCCTCTGGGGGGAAAAAAAGAGTTACGTTTTTTTTTAAATCGTCACATGCATTTTTCCAAACTAGTTGATATTGATGTCCAAAAATCTCCCGTAGTGATCCACTAAGGCCTACATCACCAAGGAGTAGTATCCCTTCCTGCAAATGGGCTATGCAGATTGATGGAGTAGCACAGACAGCTACTTTGGTACTGTTCAGGAATCTTAACTATTCAGAGCAGTCAATGATATCCAGCACACTGGCCATCTCGATCACATGCCCTTGCAACACAGCGTAGGACCTTGCTCACCTCTATCACAACAGCACCTACACTAGATTTACCAAACCCGGTTTGGTTTTCAAGGGAGTGGTTGCAAACAAGGGTAGTAAGCTTCCAACAGCTATTAAAACTAATATTAGAGATTATGCTAAGCAACCAACATTGTATTATTTAGAAACATCTTGCAATATAGTACCTGTGAGTGGTATCTTTGGCCTTTCAGGTAGTTTTCCTGGATCAGCTATGGAGGCTCTCAATAACGAAACTATACAAAACAATGAGACTAAGTAGTAGCCTGAAAAATAAATATATAAGTATTCAGAATATTACATCAAGTGTATCTTTGGCCAAAGACTGCATGCCTTAATGTGTCACATTTTAATCAGTTTCAGCACAGCAAAAGATTACTTATAGGAATGAGGCAAGACAACAGAAAATTGCAGAAAAAAAGAAGCTGCAATAATTGGCATATTTGAAAAGTAAATCTGATTTAAACTAGCTTAATTAACACATGTAAACCAGCATTCCATTTATGCATATAAATATTTCATACATATATTACACATAAAAAATAACCTTAAAAGAACATATTAAGATTGTAAAGTCAAACACACAAAAGTTAGGAAATACCACAATTAAGGTTGCCTATGCACATCTAATTGGGCTCTTTGTACATATGCATTATGATAGCCTTTAATTACATGATTGCATACAATTTTTTCCACAGGACTGCTGCCTCATTCAACACACAAAATGAACAGTGCTCACTGAATGAGTAGCAATATTTTGTTTTCTCCTTCTTGTTCAATATGCGGGCGCATGTCTCATTTACTGCACGCTATTCAAACACTGCTCCAAAGCCAGAATTATTAGCTTCCTCATCAGTTTTTCTAATGGTGCTCATCATTATGGCATAGAAGTGCATCACAAACATTAATTTATTTTCACGACACTGGTGAGATAAAGTGGTATTATACCCATTTTGCAGATGGGGGACTGAGATAGAGAGAAATTAAAGTCAAAAGTATCCACTAATTTTGGGTGTCCAAACTGAGACACCTAGGGCCTGATTTTTCAGAGTACAGTACTTAGCATTATATAGCATTATAAAGCACAACTTCCATTACTTCAGTTGCAGCTGTGAGTGTTCAGCACTTCTGCAAATCAGATTCCAGGGCCTCAAGCCAGGCACCAAAAAAAAAAAGGAACACACATTTAGTGACTCACCTAGCATCACACAGGAATTCTGTGACAGAAAGAGGGATATAATCCAGTTATCCAGGGCAGCATTCTACTGCCTTAAACCACGAGACCATCTTTTCACTTCCTGCAGTCCCCTGCTTCATTCACTACACACCTTCCAATTTCTGCATCAAATGAAGCCAGGTTCCTACAGCCCACAGCCTCCTTACACAACCCATCATGGGCATTCAATGAGGCAGGAGTGGAAACAATCATATATGATCATATACTTAAAAAGTTATATTATAATTCATACACACAGGGGACTGAATCAAGGTTGCATAGACAACCTTAATTCTGAGTTGCTTTTCAGTACTTGGCTTTGCAACCTTAATGCTTTTAAAATAGTTGTGTGTGATTTCCTAGGTTTTTAAAACAATTGAAAAAAAAAAATCTCCTCGTGTGCCATCATATTGACATCATATGGCTCATCGGCAGGGTTTGAGCCTTTATCTCCACCTTGCAGAGGTCTGGCACTGGAGCAACTGAGAGCAGAAGTAGGTTGTCATTCTCTCCGTGGGCCTGCATTAGAGGGGGATGAATCACTTTGCCAGTGGGTTTCCACAGATATGTACTGATTTCAGAGGAACGGTGAAATTCTGGAATCCCGGGTTTCATTCCAGTCTTTTGAGGGGAGTGTGCTTTAGTGGACACAGACTTTTCTTCCTATACCCCTCTCCCCTCAAAGCTTGACCTCTTCTGCCCCCTCCCCTCTAACCTGTCACTGTCCAAGTCCCATCTCTTCCCCATCCCTGGCTCCTCCTCCCAGTGCCATTCTCCTCATATAGCCAGCCTGAGTTAGCACAACTCATTAACTGCTAATATGACCACTCTGCAGTGTTGACACAGGCTAGCTCCACCTGACTGCTGCTAGTCCTCCAATGTCTTCCCACAATTCCACCATGTCCCCAGATGGGACAGGGAAATTCTCCTACAATTCACTGGGAAATAATTCATAGAATAGCTCAGCTTACTGCACTGCAAAGAACTATGGGATGTGCCTAGGGTTGCCAACTCTGACTGAAGCTATTCCAGACTCTCCCCCCACCCCCACCCCACACACACACGACAATGTCATTTTCTTAAAATATCCTATTAAAATCTCTTGGACTGCTTTCAATAGTCACCGGGAGATCAATGCCGATTCTGGGAGACTCCAGATCAATCCTGGAGGGTTGGCAACCCTAGATGTGCCCCTGAAGTCTTAAGTACCACACAGGAGTGAGTGCTGTACCACTGTGTATGCAGCAGCTTGAATGTTATTTCAAAGTGTAGCTGCTCTCACCAGCGCAAGGCTAACTTGAGAGGAGTAGCTCAAGTGTAGAAATCTTAACTGCAGTGAAAATATACCCAAATACACCCACAATCCCCTGTCCCAGCATCAGCTGCTGATGCGAATATGGGATATATTGTATACCTGCTCAGCTTTTCCTGATACTGATATACACTCATGCAGATTAGTAGGTACAGACTGGCCACAGGATTCAGACATGCTGTGTTGGGAAAAAATGCAGATATATGGACATACTGAACTGTGTCAAATGCGTGTGTCAAAGCCCAATTACAGTTAGCATGTCCCTGTCTGTAGTTAGGGCTTTAATCTAAAGTAATACCAAAATAAGCTATTTCAGATTTATTGTATTTCAAAAATAAGGAGGAAGTTGGATTTTTTAGAATCAGCATTAAGACCAATTTTTTTTTGGCTTGTTCTCCTTCTTCCCTGGAATTCTGGAACTTGATACTACATAGGTCAGAGTAGGTTCTATTGCCCACAGGTACCTTTTTTTTGTTTTGTTTTTAAACTAGCTAGGAGAGAGAGATTGGGCTCAATGCAACTTACACAATATCGCTGCAGCTGAAGTATGTCCCTCTTCATAGTGAGGAAAGAGGATAATTTGGGGAATAAAGAGTGTGTTGTAAAGCCAGACGAAGATAATCATGCCCATGCAGCACCACCCCTGCGGGTCAATCACAAAATGAATTTGTAGTCCCATTGTACATTATCTGAAGGCAGCTTGCCACGTAGGGAAAAAACAATGATCCTAAAAAAAAAGAAAAACAAAAACAACCCCCCCGCCCAGTAAGTTGAAGTAGTAACATGAAAGCTTCATCGCTGGTTATTAGAAAGTTAATAAATACTGGTAAAATGTTCCCTGTACTTCCAGTAGCGTAACTGTTATTTGGTTCATGTGCACAGATTTGGAAACCAGGTGCAAGTTTCTAAATGTTTCGAAGCCTCATGCACAGAGTTCATGCACTACCACGGGATATACACTTATGGTTTCTTTTTCACTGTAAACATCTCATTGTCTATTACTTAACTTTTACCATAAAGATGAGTGAAGAGACAAAAGATATAAAACCTGAAGAGGACTTCAAATGCAAGTGAAAATAGATGCATTTACAAAGATAATCAGCCAACCAATGATTTTAGGAAAACTCAGCAGAGACAGCATAGGGGTTGGTTAACATAAAAAAAGAACGTTGATTTTTTTCTCTCTCTCTTTTAAAACTAAGCCAACTAGATGGATGTGGGGCTATCACAAATAGCACACAAGGTTCTCTTTACCTACTTATGTCTCATTCCATCCTACTATGCCACCCAAATTTTTGAAAGATTATTTATATTCAATCTATTTGAAAATTAAATCCTCACATACTTCTGTAGCAATCTGCTGTTGAAGCTCTTCACTGATCATGTATCCTCTTTTTCAAATGCTGAAAGTGGAAGAAATTGCACTTTCATAAATATTTTTCCCGCTAAAAGGGGTCACAGCATCATGCCAAAAATTATTTATTTATAAGGCAAATAGGTCAGTCACAATGTGATCTCCTAGCCCCTTTGCTCACCCTAATTCCCATCATATTAATGATTTACAACACAATCACAACCCTTGTGAAATCATCCCGCAGGTCACTTGCCAGAACAGTGATTGCAGGTTTTTATTTTTTTTGGAGGTGAAGGAGCTATTGAGAGGAGGACAAGAGTGCCTTCCCTTCCTCTCACTTCCTCCCTCCCTCTGCTGCAAAGCTCCTGAAATCTAAGGGTTTGTCTACACTACCAGCCGGATCGATGGGCAGCAATCGATCTAGCAGGGGTCAATTTATTGTGTCTAATATAGACGAATAAATCAACCACCGATCGCTCTAGTGTCAACTCCGGTACTTCACCTCAACGAGAAGCGCATGGTAAGTATATCTAAGTACGTAACTGAAGTTGCGTAACTTAGATCAATTCACACACACACACACACCCCGGTAGTGTAGACCAGACCTAAGAGAGAGAGACTCCCTCATCCTAGAACTCACTCCCCATGTCAGTTGGGCAAAATCCCAATCTTCTGATTTACATAATGCCCTAAAAGCCATCCTTTTATTCAAGCTTCTCTTTTTGGCAGGGTGAAGAGATGAGGTTATATTGTAGTTTATGGGGAGATGGGAGATAAGAGTTTCAATGACATTTGTAAGCCAGTTATTTTATACATATCAGAACTGTAGAAATCCAAAGTGGATTGGATGATCTCTTTTTCCATCTCATTACTAAAGCAGAAATGTTTACCTAACACCTGTTTTTGAGTGTTTTTTTGTAATCTAATTTTAACGTCCCAAGTGACGGGGCTTCAAGCACTCCAGAGCCCAATTCATTTCACTGTCATGATGTTTTTCACAGATTTCCTCAATTTCTATCCCCCCTCAGTGTCTAGCAAGGTATTTCAGTATTTTTACCCTTTTAGGTCTCTCAGACAAGCTACACATATTTAAAATGTTAATCTTTTATAAACTCATGTTCATTCTTTTTTCTTTTCCTTGAATACGATCCAGTACTGAAAACATATATGTGGTTGCATCAGAACTATATAGAGAAAGTTTACTACCGCTATATTCACTGAGAGGATGCCATTGCATAAACAGCTTAATATTGCAACAGACTTCATTGCTGTCACATTACACTACACTCATGTCCAATTTGCTGTCCATCATCATTAGTTCTTCAGATTTATTATTTATTATTTTTATTTATATAAAATAGGTTTTCCAGCTCCAAGCAAGTGTGTTTCAGATTACCCTCCATATCTACTGATTTGCATTTTTTCCATCTTCAGTCTCATTTTGTTGTTTTCCACCCATGTCTTCAATACCTCTACATCTAGGTTCTTTTCCATTGTTTGTCTTGTCCTTGCTGGCATTCACAACTCCTCAATTTAGCATTATTCATAAATTTCATTAACGTCTTTTCTTCTTTTTCCAGATCATTAATCAAGGCCAGACTGAAAAAAGCCACTTGACATATTCCCATCCCTATTCTACGTGCTGCCATTCATCATAACCGTTTGTTTATTGTTTCTAGCAGTTTTCAATCCACAACAGTATTCCCATTCAAGGCACTTGGAATTAAATTTTTAAATAAGATGGAACATAAGAATGGCCATACTGGGTCAGACCAAAGGTCCATCCAGACCAGTACCCTATCTACCAACAGTGACCAATGCCAGGTGTCCCAGAGGGAGTGAACCTAACAGGTAATGATCAAGTGATCTTTCTCCTACCATCCATTTCCACCCTCTGACAAACAGAGGCTAGGGACACCATTCCTTTCCCATCCTGGCTAGTAGCCATTAATGGACTTAACCTCCATGAATTTATCTAGTTCTCTTTTAAACCCTGTTATAGTCCTAGCCTTCACAACCTCCTCAAGCAAGGAGTTCCACAGGTTGACTGTGCTGTGTGAAGAAGAACTTCCTTTTATTTGTTTTAAACCTGCTGCCCATTAATTTCATTTGGTAGCCCCTAGTACTTATATTATGGCAACAAGTAAATAACTTTTCCTTATTCACTTTCTCCACACCACTCATGATTTTATATACCTCTATCATATCCCACCTTTTCCAAGCTGAAGAGTCCTAGCCTCTTTAATCTCTCCTCATATGGGACCCGTTCCAAACCCCTAATCATTTTAGTTGCCCTTCTCTGAACCATTTCTAATGCCAGTATATCTTTTTTTGAGATGAGGAGACCACATTTGTATGCAGTATTCAAGATGTGGGCATACCACGGATTTATAGAAGGGCAATAAGATATTCTCAGTCTTATTCGCTATCCCTTTTTGAATGATTCCTAACATCCTGTTTGCTTTTTTGACTGCCGCTGCATACTGCGCGAACATCTTCACTATCCACCATGACTTCAAGATATATTTCCTGATTAGTTGTAGCTAAATTAGCCCCCATCATTATTGTATGTATAGTTAGGGTTATTTTTTCCAATGTGCTTTTCTTTACATTTATCCACATTAAATTTCATTTGCCATTTTGTTGCCCAATCATTTAGTTTTGTGAGATCTTTTTGAAGTTCTTCACAGTCTGCTTTGGTCTTAACTATCTTGAGCAGTTTAGTAACATCTGCAAACTTTGCCACCTCACTGTTTACCCCTTTCTCCAAATCATTTATGAATAAGTGGAATAAGATTGGTCCTAGGACTCACCCTTGGGGAACATCACTAGTTACCCCTCTCCATTCTGAAAATTTACCGTTTATTCCGACCCTTTGTTCCCTGACTTTTAACCAGTTCTCAGTTCATGAAAGGATCTTCCCTCTTATCCCATGACAACTTAATTTACATAAGAGCCTTGTCAATGGCTTTCTGGGATCTTGTCAATGGCTTTCTGGAAATCTAAGTACACCATGTTCACTGGATCCCCCTTGTCCACAGGTTTGTTGACCCCTTCAAAGAACTCTAATAGATTAGTAAGATGGTATCTGTAAAGGGAAATCCTATGTTGACTTTTGCCCAACAATTTATGTTCTTCTATGCGTCTGACAATTTTATTCTTTACTATTGTTTCAACTAATTTGCCCAGTACTGACGTTAGACTTACTGGTCTGTAATTGCCAGGATCACCTCTAGAGTCCTTTTTAAATATTGGCATTACATTAGATATCTTCCAGAAGCTGATTTGAAGGACAGGTTACAAACCATAGTTAATAGTTCCGCAGTTTCACATTTAAGTTCTTTCAAAACTCTTGGGTAAATGTTACTGTTACTGTTAAGTTTATCAATTAATTCCAAAACCTCCTCTAGTGACAGTTCAATGTGTGACAATTCCTCAGATTTGTCACCTACAATGGATGGCTCAGGTTTGGGAATCTCCCCAACATCCTCAGCCGTGAAGACTGAAGCAAAGAATTCATTTAGTTTCTCCGCAATGACTTTAAGTGCTCCTTTTGTAACTCGATCATCCAGGGGCCCCACTGGTTGTTTCGCAGGCTTCCTGCTTCTGATGTACTTTTTTTGTTATTACCTTTTGAGTTTTTGGCTAGCTGTTCTTCAAACTCCATTTTGGCTTTTCTTATTACATTTTTACACTTACTTTGGCAGTGTTTATGCTCCTTTCTATCTACCTCACTAAGCTCTGACTTCCACTTTTTAAAAGATGCCTTATTTGCAATTTTATTTTAAAGAAACCAGTCAAGAGTGTCTGGCAACGTTTATGTTTTAGAAAGCCATGTTACTTATTGCCCATGAGTCCAATAACCTCTAACTGTTTAGTAATTTGATGGTAATCTTGGTTTGGGGGGGGGGATCCATTTTCCTCCCCCCCCTCACACGCCCCCCCCCCCAGCCCCACTTTGCCCCCCCCCCTCGCAGAATCCTCCAGGGATCCCCACAGCGCCCCCTCCTCACCCGAGGCAGAACTGACCGATACGGGGGGGCTGATCCGCCCCAGCAGAAGACACTCCGACCGCAGAGTATCTCTCCGCCGGCTTCCACCACCTTCCGCTTCCGCAGGGTTCTACGCATGCGCGCACGGATGGCGGTTGGCGGAGTAGGGACACGCTCAGCGCAGTGGCCAACCGCACCGAGGGCGGGCGCGTACCGTGCTCTCTGCTGAGTGCGTTCTACTCCCGCCCCGCCCCGCCCCGCCCCGCGCGCGTTCCCTTCGGCCGCCCGCCCTTCGCTGGCCTCAGCTGCAGCAGACCCGGGCGTGGCAGCTGGAGCAGGGCACAAGAGTGGCGTGATATTTGCGGCAAACCCCTGTGATAAATATCAGAGTCAGACTTTCCACTCCCAGCGTTGCCAACCCCGAGCATTCCAAAGGCCTCCCCAAAATAATGAGACTGGCTTAAAAAAAATCACAAGATTCAGACAAATAATAAAGTTGGGTTTCTTTTTAATTTGCTCTCTGTCTTTTGAGCCACTTGGGTATGTTCAGGTGGCAGTTTAAATCTTTTCTCTGCAAATGTGAGGACTATAAACTAACCCATTTGAAATGAAAGCTGAGGTTTTCATGTAATCACTTGACTCCAGGAGTTGAGGCTTTAAGAATGTGAGACCTTTAAAATCATGAGGAGCAGGAATAGTCTTACTTCAGGCTTGCTGTACATGCACTCCCACATGAAAGAAATGTCCTCTTTCTCTCTTGAATACCTCTGCTTGTATTCATCGCATTCCTCTTGTGGGAGGAGTGGAGAAATGTGTTTATTCATGGACAACAAAGAATATCTTTTTTAATTGTCATGATAGACACATTACAGATATGATTGATGAATAAGATCTGCTACTTAAGGTAGAACAGAAAAAAGTTTTAACCAACATTTGAATTAATAACACATACCAATTCACACTGGTGATTCTATATTCATCTTCTCTCTGGCTTCCATATTAAGTTTGCTCAGGTTACAGGTTTAAAGATTAATATTCCAACTACCAGCATTCTTGATGTGGAAAATAAGCTTGTTGTTGTTGATGTAATACACTAAGCATACATTCATGTTGCAAACAAATAGCGAGACATGGTTCTTTCCCCAAAAACATACAGTTTAAGACCCTGAGCTTACAGTTGACTCTAGTGCAGACCCCAGTTGAAGACAGCAAGCCTCTGGTCTGGGCTGGCACAGGGGTCCACAGGGCAATCAGTGGAGGAACAGGGTCTAACTCATTCAAATGCAGCGTGCAAGATATGTGCTGTGTGTTGTATTGGCGTCTTACATAAGCAGCAGTAATAATGATTCTGCAAAAAGAACAGGAGTACTTGTGGCACCTTAGAGACTAACAAATTTATTAGAGCATAAGCTTTCGTGGGCTACAGCCCACTTCTTCGGATGCATATAGCATCCTTAGTCTCTAAGGTGCCACAAGTACGCCTGTTCTTTTTGCGGATACAGACTAACACGGCTGCTACTCTGAAACCTGGAATAATGATTCTGTGATTCCAATAGCTGACAATTTCCTTTATGGTGCATAAGAAAGAATAGAACTTAACTTGCTCTTCAACAGTTATCTTGGTTCTGGAGTGCAAACAGGCACACAAACATGATTTTTTTAATAAGACAAGCAAAGTAAGACATTTTTATATTGTCACTTTTCTGATGACTTTAGAATGGGCTTTACTCACAAAAAATGGGGCAAAGAGGGAAATAGAAGAACCTGAAGAGACCTCTTTTGTCCAGATTTTGTTGAAATGCTATTTCCCTAATACTGATTTAAATCTTAAATTGATCCTCCCCCCACATTAAACGTCAGTAGTACCTTGAAATGTGTATACATTCCCAAATTAAAAAATAAGCTAAGTCTGTATCTCTCCCTTTGCCTCCACAAAGTCACTCTCTGTGATTTTACAGTGAGATGGCGCCACCATGGATAAACTCAGTGCCTCAATCTATATCTCTGGCCAGCATATTGGGCTTGATGAATTGAACAAAGGATTCCCTTATGAGACTGGGAGAGGAAATTTTTATTTTTAAAAGTTAATTCTGTCCAGAGATGGATTAGTGATGGCTAATTGCCACAGGCAGCTCGTAATGGACAGCAGTTTCAGCATTCCCATCTGGGAATCATGCCTTGAACACCCATAGCTGATGCACATGCATGATCTTTTGGCTATCTAGAGTCATCCCCATCTGTTTGAGTGGCAGGATTCCCAATCTAAATTGGTCTTATTCTTGCCCTAAAGCACAGATCCCACATAATAATAGATGAATGGGCAGCCTGAAGAATAATATAATGACCATCTCTTTTACAGGAAGCTCTTCTTTAACAACACTAAACATTGAGGACACATACCTCTTTAAACTTGATCATAGTTGTTGACATGTATATGCCAAAAAGAGAATATCTGAGAAGTAAAGATGAATTAGAATTCAGAAGGATTTCAAGCTTTCATCAAGACTTTATTGCAAGATAAGGTGACCACTCATCCTAATTTGCTCAAGATTGTCGGTCATATTGTTCAGGATATTTTCTAATGTACCAAGTCAATGTTGCTCTGATGTAAGCATGTATGTTCTTAGCTGGGATTAGGGGTTATATGGTGACCCAATGCAGCCTATTTCAATGACAGTGGAAACATTAACCAGCAGCCTGTACATTTCTGTAAAACCAGGCAATACTGAAAAGGATCTGATTTACGGTACAACACGGGGGTGAATAGAGGATGGGCACATGTGTGAAAGAGCCTACAAAGCTGGCTATGAAAAATAGCCTCATGGCAAAAGGCCAATATGTAAGGCACTTCCATGTACAACAGACATGGCGGAGAGTTCATGACAGCTGCATAACGACCCAAGGACAGAAAAGGAGAAAGAGGATTTGGGGAATAAAAATGCAAGACAAATGGAGACATTCTCTCTGCTGGGGAAAAAAAGGCTGGCTGAAGTTAGTGAAAATACATACGAGATAATGGCAAAAAGATTTTCCCTTTTCCTGAGCAAACACTGGAGTATTGTTCTAGTCTGAAAATGACTATGTAAAATGCCCCCTTCTTACTCAATAGTTCTGCTTTCTCTTGCATCAGCTCTGCTAATTTTATTTACTAAAATAAGTTTTTACTAAGATTTGTTCATTTTAGTCCTGCAGAACAAACACAGCTCTTTGGGAGAGTGAGCTGTAGTGTATTCTGGCTTGCTCATCAGCAGAACTGTAACTAAGTTCTAGTTGCAGAATCTTTGGCTGGCGATGCATGAACCAGAAAGAACCCAGCCTAATTTTCCATTTCCGAATTGAATTTTCAGGGATCAGAGTTAGAAACACACCCTCTATCCCACTCCCGATGTTTTTACCTGAAAACTAAACAGATATGTTGTGTATGTCATTGAGAAACAATAAATAGATATGGAACCCCCTTTTTACATAGTCTCTAAAGTGGAGCTGTACCTTAAAGTAATATTGGCTTTGTTGCACACATCTTTCCCTGCCCGTTTGGAACTGTGCAGCAGACCAGCATGGATTAGTTCATCAGTAATGTATTTTGCAATGATTATGGAAAAACCTGCAAAGCAGAAACAGCTCATTTCTGTAGTTTCAGAATATTGCACAGTAGTGCAGAACCCTTCTTGGAGTTCCCTAATGTCTGTGTTGTGGTGTTGCTGTTGTTATTTATAAATTACCACAGGAGCCACCAGCTGTCATCATAAAATTTTTATTGGCACTCTGTAAATATTAAATCAGCATGCTAAAATTATGCCATGTGCAGTGGCAGCTGATGCTCTCTTATGGAGGTCATATGCAAGAGAGAGGATTGCATTACGACTCCCATGATTCTTACTGCCTACAAGTCCTCTGCTTCATGAGGATAGATTCCAATATTAAATCTAGGCCCAGTCATACCCCAATGATCCTTGTGCAGAATGGACTCTGTGCACCGAAATCACTCCCTTCGCAAGGACAGGGAAATCTGCTGCATTTAAGCACCATCCTCCTCTTCCTGGATTCTGCTAAATTCTGATTGAAATTCTGTGTTACCAGCCCCTTTCCTGGTTGCTTTGCAAACTTCGTTAACATATAGCTCAGTGGTTTGAGGATTGGCCTGCTAAACCCAGGGTTGTGAGTTCAATCCTTGAGGGGGCCATTTAGGGATCTGGGGCAAAAATCTGTCTGGGGATTGGTCCTGCTTTGAGCAGGGGGTTGGACTAGATGATCTCCTGAGGACCCTTCCAACCCTGATGGTCTATGATTAGACTGGTAGCCAAATTCCTCATGACACAAAGTGCCATGTTCTGAATTCACATTCTTGATGCACCAAGGAGGCTTTCATTTGTGACATCAGATGCTAGAAATGGGGCTTGACATTTTCATGGGCATGAAGACCTGTTGGTCACCATGGCATGTGATGTCACGATGTCATACATTGAGATATGGATGATGATTTTATTTTAACAGTGGAGACGTTGAAGGTGAAGAAAAGAAAGGAGCCCGTAGAATTCTCCCTCTCTCTGACCCAGGAGCTAGGGGTTATGGGGAAGACGAGAGGAAATACCCCTGGGATGGAATGTACAGAACTTTGGCTGCCTGCTGGAGAAAATATGAAAGCCTGCTGACCTTTGGAATCTGGAGAAGGAGGGCTATGCCAGGCCAGTGGAAAGCCTGGAGTGTGGGGGGTTAATTTCCAGCAGGGTTCAAAGGCAATTCAGGGAGATATTGCTAGTTGGGCTCTAATTAAGTACAGATGAGCCTATTAAACCCAAACACTTTCACCTAGGAGAATGGGGTAAGTTTGAACAGTGTGCTAGTTCATATTTTGTCTTTACCTGTTACAATCCAAGCTAATGACAAAATGTAAGAACTTTGCAGCAGGGTTTCTCTCTTTCTATGTATGTATAGCACCTAGCACAATTGAGCTTCAATCTCAGGTGGTGCCCTGAGCTGTTATTGCAAGGAATGCTGCTGGAGACTTTTGTTAAACTGAAGTCAATTTTGGTCCAACCAGAACACATACAGTAACCACCACCCTGGAGAAAATGATCTTGTGTTCAAATGTGACCGTCTGCTATCCTTTCTCTTTCATTATGCTGCCTCTCATCCTGCAGCTGCCGCTCTTCCTCCGAGCAGCCAGGTTGGAAAGGTATTGGTGTTAGCTGATGTTACAATGGTTCTGCATCAGTAGATGGTTTGTTATCATGACAATGCATTGTTAAAAGAACCTAAATAAGAGCAAATACAAAGCCAGCACAAAATACTGCATGCAACATCGGATTTCATTAGCTTTGTAGTAGGCAAGGCAGAATTTAGGTATCAATATAATTTTGTGAGAAAAGAGGATTATGGGCTAGTGTTTGACATAACACTGTTGTTAATGCATTTGATTATTAAATTCTCAACTAAGAAAATAGTCTCTATATAAGATAGTGTTTTCCTAAAGGCAATTAAAATAACCAGACCCTCCACTCATTTATTTATTTTTAGGTATGTTGTCCACAGTTCAAATGGTCACAAATTAAAATAGAATGGAGAACTTCTGAAATATTTACAAATTTCAAATATGACTCAATGGAAGTTGCTAAGGGCTCTTTATGACCATGTACACTTGTCCTCTTTCATAGAGCAAAGTCCCGTTAGCATCTGGGCATAACTTGCTCTTAATATAGAATTTTTAAAGACTCTGAAATCTGATCCAATTAACACATTCTTGATATTGCAGAATATAGTGCTAATTACATGCAACTGACCTCTGCTGGGTTAATTAAACATTCACCCAAAAAACTATAGCACTAATCTAATTAGCAGTTACTACAGCTGTCATTATCTCTTTGCACCTACTTTTAAGTGGTGCAAATTCACACCAAGGACCCAATCCTGAAAACTCTCCACATGCTGAACTCCCTTTGACTTCAATGGTACTTTTGCACACAGAGGACTTGCAAGATTGGGATGTAGGCACTTCACTCTATGGCCCAACAAGTACAGTGCACATCCTCAGTATTGCTAACCCAAAAGTTACATTAAAATATCATGAGTCAGGCCACACAAAATCATAAGTTGGAGAAAAAAATTGGGGTTCTTTTTATTTTCCTTCTTGTTTTTGAGCCTTTAAGGTACACTGGAGTCACATCTTCTTGATTTTTCTTTATCCAGGAGGGCTAGACACTTTTTAAAAAAAAATGAAAGCTGAGATTCTCATATATCCACAAGACTCCAGGAGCTGGGGCTTTAAGAGAAAATACTAATTACTGTCAGATTCACAATAACATTGTGAGAGTTAACGACACTGTAACAATGGCTTGATGACATTCTCTGTTTTCTCATAATTTTGCCTGACAGTGGGGGAGAAGGTTGGGAACACTGATGTTTTGTTTATTTTGAGGGAATAACTTTTTCCCCTGAACTTTTAAAATGAAGACTAATGAGAGTAGCACAGCTACAATGTTGCAAGGCAAGTTAAAGGGGTGCAGAAGTGTTCCCTGATCACCAAAAAACTGGGAATTTACTCTTTGCTTAGGTCTCCCACATGTATACAGTGTGTGGAGTAATGAAAAAACAGGGCTGGGGATAGAAGGCATAGTCGGGCACTCAGAGAGAACATGGGAAACCATAAAATACAGCTACCTGGGAAGCAGAGGGGAGTCTTCTGAGGAGACAAAGCCTATATACCCAGTACTATTTCATGTTATCGAAAAAACATTTCTTCCTTTTGTTATAACCTGTGCCAAATGAAGCACTGGAGAAAACACTTGTGGTGAGAGACTTAATGGCAGATTGCTGGCTCACTCTCCCAGCTTACGCCTTGACAAAGTTGGTCACCAGTATAAAACTCAGATGTAAAGTGTAAAATAAAATGTTATTAGGAACAATGCTTTTTAAAAAGAGATCATGAACCTTGATCACTCTATATATTGCTAGTTAGAACTATACCATATAATTGGTCCATTCATGGTTGGCCTGACACCATTTATACATTAGAGTCACTGGTGCAAAAGGAGAGGGAGGAAAGATTTGCATCTGGTAGACACTTTTTTTTAAATTATGATCTAGGTAAGCTGCCTCTTTAAAAGCAGATTCATATATACAGGAGGATAATGACACACTAATTATATGGCTGAATGTATTATGCACAAACTATTGCTACTATTCAGATCCGGGATCAGCAATTGAGAGGTCATTCAAACACAATTTTTAGTAAACATGTATTCATAAGAGCTGTAGTCCAAGGATATGTTATTTATTTTTTTTAAAGATAAGATTTACAATGGCACTGCAGTATGTGTGCAAATGAACTCACTAGTACAGAGTGGTGATTGGCTGAATTACTTCTGATTTCCAGCTCCCATCATCCAAAAGTGAGCTGTTGGCAAGGCAGCAGCAGGGGGTCTGATCAGAGGGTCTAGGAATAATACAGGAACAGACTGCCTGGTGCTCCCAAGGGAGTCAGGAAGGGTTGGAAATTGGATGAAATCTAGGGTTCTGGAAAGCAGCTAGAGGAACGGCTGGCTGGCTGGTGAGCCAGGGTTGCAAGAAGCAGCAGGAAGGAGAAGAGAAGCCAGAAGTTGGGCTAAGAGCCATGGGTGCTGAGTGAGCCAGGACTAGAATCAGGTCTGGTCTACATGGGATAGTTTTACTAGTTATACAGGCATAGTATACTGCTATAGTCCCTGGGACAGACAGTGGTGTAAGAGTGGCTTTTTGGTTTTGCTTGAACCCCTTCACAAGCAACATAAATGAAAATTTAAAAAGTAATTCATATCAGAGTAACTGTGTCCATAGGAGGTTATACCTGTGTAACTATCAGTTTAAATTGACACCTTAGGTTATACCAAAAAACCTTCTCCCTTATAGACAAGGCTTCAATCTCGTGGTTCCTACAGAACAGCACTGGTGCCTATCCCAAGACAGCTACCACCTCATTATTTGTTTGCTTCTTTAATGATTGACCATTTCATTGATTTTCAGCAAAACAAGAATACACAGCTGGAATGCAAAACATTTCAGTAAGAGTAGGAGAAAGTTATCAAACACAATTAGTCAATATCCATATCACATGTAAAGATTATTGGGTCCTGTGGCAATGTCCTTTTATTGAACATAATACTCAGAAGATATAGTCAAAGTATTTTCAAATTACTGGAGTTCATTACGTCTGTTGCAGATGATTTTCCCCAGAGCTATCAAGTCCAGTAGTCCAAGGTACCAATTCTCCCATCCTGGTGGAATAACAGCTTTCCATCACTGCAGGATAACTGACTATCCACAAAGCCCAAACTAGCCACCTCTCTTGTTGGTCAGTTAGCTCTAGAAATGTAAGGAACATTCCCAGCAGTAACAGCAAGGATGGCTAACACAGAGACACATAGGGAATAAAAATGATTCAGGCGTATGCCTCCTACTTACAAGGTTTTTATTAAGGGCCTGATTTTGGCTCACTACAGTTTTACATTGGCGTCATTCCACTGACTTCAATAGCATTACTTCTGATTGATATCAGTGTGAGATCAGAATCAGACCCTAAATGCTTTACAGAATGAGTCACAGTTATTTTATTCAAGTTATTTTACAAAAATGTTGGTTATAAATGTCAGATTCATTTACTTTGCAAAAATAGCAGAACAATTAATCCCAACTTTCATAAATATTGTATTTTGCTCCTGCAAATTCATAACATTTTGTAAGTCACCTTTCATTGAGTGGGGTATCCCTTCCACTTATTCTTATAGCAAGTGAACATATTCAAATAATCACATTGCAGGGAAAGATCCTGTAAATTACCCCCATAGAGATGACGATAAAGTACACACAGCAACATTCGATTCCTCCCTGTCACATTAGCGTCTATTTTGCACAGTATTGTAACTCAATTTTAAGAAACATCTTTGATCATTTAAAGTTGATTCTGGTAGCCTTATTCACCTGAATCATACCTTACTCTGTTGACTGTCCCATTTCAAGGTACTACTGAACATGAATGAGGGCAGCAAAACCAATCTCTAAATGAGTATTTAATCTATCTCACGCCCACCCAGTTATTGAGCTGTCTTCAGCATCACCAGAAAGTCCTCCAGTGCAAACATGTCGGCAGCTAGGCAACTGCTTCATACTTTTTAATATTTTAAAATACTCTATTGTTGGTAGTATTTGTTACACAAAGATTCTTTCTTCTCATGTAATAGTAATAATATATAGGACCTGATTCTCTTCTTACACTGGTGTAAATCAGGATTGACTCCTTAGAAGTCAATGGAATTACATGTCACCTTCAACCCTGTTTATGCTATGGATATTTCTCAAAGATTTCCCACCATTGCTAATGGTGGCTCACCTCCACCAGTGTTAGCAATACTGGGAATACATGTTATAGATGAGGTCACCAATTGCTGCGAGCATTTTAAATAAAGTTGCTCAGAAAATGCCAGTTGTTCTTTAAGGGAAACTTTTGTTCATCAAAAAACCAGACAATTTTGACCAAAATGAAAATCTTGAGCAATATTTTTTGTTTAGGTTGAAAAGTCCCTCTTCAATGAAAAAACAAAAACAAAAATGCATCAATTAAAATAATTAGACTAGCTCTAACTTTAAGTTGCATTGTTGCTTAGACTTCGGCTTTGTCTTCAGTGCAAAAAAAGAAAATATGTGGTTTTACATTGAGATAGCTAACTCAAGATCACCATGTCAGTGTAAAATGCTAGTGGAGACAAGGCACTGTAGTTTTACCTCAATGCAGCCATGTTAGGGTTGACCTTGACTAGCTACACAACAGTAATAACTACCTATGCTGTTACTCCACTATTACATTGAGTTAGCTATCTCAATGTAAAAAACACACCTCTTTTTGCAGAGAAAAGTCTGGCTCTGAGCAGGTCTAATCAACATGGTGTTTAAAACAGTGGTGACAGCTTTTGGCTCGTATATGCTCGGGATCTCAACTTCGTTGACACCAATGGAACTGACCCAGTGTAGCAAGGAGGAGACATTTTGAAGAGATTAGACTTCCACACCATGCTCCCCCCTCCCTCTCTTTCACACAGAGAAACATCTTATACATTTCAGGTAACGTTATACATGATGTAAAGAGATAATCTACATCTTCACACGGATGCTAATGATTATGGGGCTTAAAGGTGCTTTTGAGCAGGTTAATTGTGCTCATATACATTTGAATGCAAGTCTGAATGTAGGGGTCCTATATCAGAATCTTTAATCTTCTGAATCTCACACTTGCAATCCTCCACAATCATGACCACCTTAACAATGGTGACAGACCTGGTGCAGTTCAGCTCCAAGCGTTTCATGGTGAACTTGGTAGGCAAGCAGTGGGAACAAAAGGTGTAAAGACGATCTTCTGGGCCAGGGACGTGAAAGGAACTACACTTCCCAAAGCACAAGTTGTTCTGCACCACCACCTTTTCACAGTTCTCATGCACAATACTCTGAAACAGCAAACAGGTTGCAGTTACTACATAGCATTGGCATTGTAAACACTTGTTGGCCCTATCCTCCTTTCTTTGCACATTCAAAACTCCCATGGACTTTGCTGGAAGATGTAGACACAAAAATAATGGAAGATTGGGCTTATACAACTAATATATAAGTTTCTTCTCTTACTGTTAGTTACTGTAGTAGTCACACCATTTACAAATTATTTTAAGTAGCAAAAGAATTAGTTACCTAGTGAGTTTCCCACTTACTTGGACAGTGTTACTATAATATATAACTTGACATTTATGTGTATCATATTTGGTTCAAAGGGCCTTTATGTTTGAAAAATCACGACCAAGTTTGAGTCACGTCTGTAATATTAAGCACTGGTCTATGCTGGAAGTTATAACTTCTTTGACTAGAGATTTTTTTTAACCAACATAGTTATAAGCCCTAGTGTGGATGCAATTATATCAATATAAAGATGCCTTATACCAGGATAGCTATTCCGCATCCCAGACTTGAATCAACTAACCTGATATAAGCACTTTTATACTGGCGTAACTTTGTCCACAGTAGAGAGAGGTTAATGCTTTAACAATACCAGTATAGTTAAAGTGGTACAATCTTCTAGTATAGACAAGGCTTTACTCCTCATTTTTGTAGAGCAGGTCAAGAATTTGAGTTTAGCCATAAAACCACAAACAAACCCCTGAATAACTGCACTGAGACTGATTGTATAAATAAACTTACTATTCTTCCTGCTATTCAAGCTAAATCAGGACATATGGTTTGTGTTTGATTACAGATAAAAAATAACCCCTCCTGCTCATTGTATATTGATTACATTGGTTCCCAGGCCTGTGCTCAACAATGTGACTCGTTGAACTAAGCAAAAGTTTTTTTCAGTACTATTGGATGTCTATGAAGTGGTCTTGCTGCTAGCAAGTGGAATTGACCTGTATTTCCTTAGTCAGGGATTACAGATGACACAAGAGAGTGAAGTTTGTGAAGGCAGAATGATGTGAGCAAATACTGCTATTGAGTCTCTTGCCTGAGACCTGTTCTTACCTGAGAAAAAGGCAGCGTCCTGCAGGTCTCCTGGTACATATCGTTGGTCTTGATTGGCAGAACAACCTCCTCAGAAGCTGAATTTTTTTTAAACATGAAATGGTCCCAGAATTTTTTAGCATCTTTCCTGTAGGGGGGCTCAGCTTCCTTCTTGTTGACTGAGTGTGAAGGTAGGAAGCGTCTCATGCTTTCAGAATGGGAGGTCTCTTTAGGTGCAGTCCAGCTTCCCAGATCTCGGTGCACATCAAGCTCTACATATGGAAGGATAAATCTGGATGATTTTTTTTCTCCCTGCTTCCGGCTCTCTGTGGCTGCTACAAATAAACTCGGTTCTTCTAGGATTTCTTCATAGTCCATGGGATCTTGCACCAGCAACTTGCTAGGGCCCTCTCTTTCAAGCAAATCTTTATCTTGATAGGAAAGGTGCTGAATTCTCCTCTTGTTCCTTTGCAGCTTTCCACCTTGTCCTGTTGCTCCAAGACCTGAGATCACGAGCAGATGAAGCAGCAGCAGAAACATACTAATCTTACTTGTGTGGACTTTTAATTTAAATGTCCTGCAGTTTCAGGTGAGCGAAGGAAGCGGCATGTAGTCTGCTAGCTTTATAAAGGAACTGAAGTCATTCTGTGGATGCTGTGGGGGCAGGGGCTACAAAGGGGAGGACCCAGGGTAACCAGTTAAACTCATTTACTGTAGATTATAATTATGATAAGGGAATTTCTGTTAATTCAACCCATCTTTTACTCCTGGATGCGTGTATTAGAAGTTCCTATCTAAACCTAGTTCCCCAGGGGGGGTGATTAGTTGGGAAAAAATGTTTGGATAAGTTGTTTAGCTGTAGTCTGGAAATGTGGAAAAGTTCCTGAATGTTTATTAGCTCATTCAACATGTCCTTTATATTTTTTCACATACCCCCACACACCATCACAGCAGAATCAAAAAGGGATGTCCTATTGTGATGAAACATCAGAGAAAGCAAGGGCAATAAAACAATTTCAAAACATGAAGATAGATTTGTAGACTTACATAGAGATACCGGCCCACATTTTCAAAAGAGATCCCTAATTTACATGCTTCACGTTTTCAGATCTATCAATTAATTTTGGGTGCCTTTGATATTAAGGTACCCTATCTAGGACTTAATTTTTTGACTTGAATTAGATTTTAGCTTCTCAGAATCTATGGAAAATCAGGCCCCACGTATCTCAAGCTGGGCAACCAAAAATGGAGGCACCTGAATTTAGTGCACACTTCTGAAAATTTGGCCCTCAGAGACTTGTTGAAGCTCAAATAGTGAATCACTGGCATGGGTGAGAACTACATCTTGTGAATTTTCCACCATATCACCCTGTCTCTCTTGTGTAAGGGAAAAATAACGTGTTTGTACATGAATAAAATGGACACACTTTTAACAAAACTGTATTAACAATTAATTCATTAAATAGCAATATGATACAATATATCTGTTCATACACATTCACACCTCCACATTCAGAATAGCTGTTCAAAGATGTGACATGCAATTCCCGTAGAGCCTAGTCCTTCAGCACATAGTCCAAAATCTGGCAAAACTCCCATTGACAATTAAGCCATATAAATCTGGATAATTTTTGATTAACAAAGCAGAAAGTGTGGTACCACCAACTCCCAAGAATGCTGTTGTAGGCTAATGTCATATATGCCTTTTAACTGTTCCATCTGAAAACTGTTTTGCCTCTAAAAATTAATACATTAGATTGGATTATAAACAATATTCAGATAGCCCCAGTTTAAGAAACCACTGCTGTTAGCTTCATGGTGTTACATAAATAATAAATTGTGCTAACAGCTTTCTTAATCAAGATGTTGCCAATCTATAGGTATGTTGGAAATATCTGTCAAGGACAATTTTTTTCTCACTTTTGAAGCTTGCATAAAAGAGTTGCCAAAAGGCATGAGAGAGATTAGAACCATGCAGGTTTTAGTTTAAATTGTGCACCTATAGATCCCAGGTTAGATCAATATAACAGAAAACTCTCCTCAAACTATAACACCTATTATTTTTTGAAGATGAATACCAATACTTGCCATTTTAGTACTAGTATTTAGTGACTACACATCCTTGATTCCACTTGAATATCAATAAGCTGTTAGACTGGCTTAAATCAAGGTGCTGCCAATCTGAAGATTAGTGTTAAAGACCTAGTTGATCTATGATAAATGAATGTCATTATTTGTCTTTCACCTCAGAGGGCTTAGTTTATTGCCCTCTAATTGGACTAAACCTATTGCCCTGCAAAGTTCTTGTGAGACACCGACTTGCAGCATTTATTGTTGCTATGCATGTGCATTACAACACCACTAGTGCAAAGATATTTGAGATTTAGACCTTATCTTCACCATAAGGTTAACCTGAATTATAATTCAAGTGTTGCCCTAAACTTGCGTCCCATCACACACAAAAACCTGTAACTCAAGCATGGTGGTGATTCCAACTTGAGTTGGCCAGTCCATCAGGGTATTTAGGCTTCAGCTTAAACCACAGACCACCATAAGATATGCCTCCAGAAGTCTTAGTGCCACACACGAATGAGTGACGTGCCAGTGTGGCCATGGCAGTTCACGTGCTAAATCACAGTGCAGCCACTCTCACTTGAGCTGGGCTAACTCAAGACGGGTAACTCAAGTGTAGAAAACTTAAGTTAACTGTTCAGTAAAGGCATACCCTAAACGCAAGGTCTTAAATCTAATTTCCTATTTTTAGTGTCTAATAACTTTAACCAATATAATGTACTAAAATTTCTCTTATCTAGTGCAAGTTAAATAATAACCATTATAAATTATTTAACACATTTTCTGACATTAAAAAAGTCAATTATATTTTAAGATTATTCATTTAGCTACAGGACTGGACTGATAACTAGACAGATTTATTTGTATCTTGGCCAACACACCAGGTATTGAAACAGGAGACAAAAAGGAGTTTTCACCAGCAAAGCTATTTTCCACTTGCTTTGTTTAAGCTGGAATAGCCCTAAAACAGATTTAAAATTTCAAACTTTCGCCATGATCTTGAAAACACAATTCTATGCAAATGCATAGTCCCATTGCCTAAAGACACTCACATGCAAGTTTGTAGGAGAGTGAGAGAGAGAGAGAGAGACAAAGAGAGAGAGAGAGAGCGCGCTTGCTTGTGTGTGCCCTGATCCAGCTCCCCTTGAAGTCAACAGAAAGACTGTCAGCAAAGAACATACACATGAGCAAAAGCAAAGTATTGCATACATGCTGTGCATTATGCCGTTTTATTATTACAATTATTTATAGTTCAGTAGCACCTAGAGGTTAGGGGCAAAGCTGGGGAAAACACCCAGGTTACCTGAGTTCCAGGCCAGTGCCCCAGCCATTGGATCATGCTGCCTCTCTGCAAATACAATGCAGGGGTCTATACTCAGCCCTTATTTCCTCCAGATCCTCCCTGCATAAGGCAAGATAACTTTCCCCAGCAAACTCTGAATAGAATCTTTGGTAATAATACAAAATATTTACAAATCCACTTCTTGAGACAAAAAATAACTATCTGCAATGGATACTGGACTAGGGAGACTGTCATCATAACCCAGTAAAGCAACTGTCACATTCCTACAAAATGCAGTGTAGCAATATATATACACAACTATATTTGTTCTGCTTCAGTATTTGGGTAAGGAGTATTTTTGCTCCATTTTAGATGTTAAATTTTGTGGGCTCAATACCGTGCTCAAATTCGAACAGACTTTCACCCCATAGTAGCATTTTATTTTTGAGTACACCGCTTTCACTTGAACTAGTCACCATTAATGCTTTCTAATCTTTTAAAGCACAGAGATCTACAGATGACAAGTGAATGTAAATGCTAAGTATCATTATTCATTTGCTTTAGATTGTTCAGTCATCATGGACATAAACTGAGTAATTAGTTTAATTGTCAATTGATACCTAAATATAGTTCTTAGGCAATGGTGGAATTATTTTCCTTCTGTTGAGCTAAATAGGGTCATTATAGTATAAATTATGAACAACCCTTTAAACTTCTATCCAGAGAAAACTTTTAAAGAACCCATTTAAAGACCTCAGAATTAATTAATTACTACTTTACAGTACATTCCCCAATTATTATACATTCCAAAGAAAACTCTCTTTTTCTTAAGTTTATTGAGTTTTTAAAAAGGCAGAAAGAGTCACATACATTCCTTTCATAGCACAGTTACAATAACTAACCTAATAGGCTTGTGAGTGATATAACAAGACAAAAAATATGATGGCTTTTACATCTTAAAATGTATATACATCACCTATTTCCATTGCAGTGAGGTTCTTAAATTTTTTTTGCTAATTTGTATAGCAGAATTTCATCCACATCTTTATAATGTTTTTCTCTGTATGCTCATCCCAACAGGAATAAAACCAGCATTCCAAGCTGATGCCAAAATTTAGATGCCTAAGTTTGAAAAGGTTGCCCTCTACGTACAATAAAATTGCAGTGTTAAATGTGTTGGTCCTTTAGCCTTACCATATAGTAAAAAACCCCAATAACATGGGAAAATCTACACAGAAATATTCATTTGAGAATGAAATAAGAAGCCCAAATACAGAACACAATTTTTAAGTAGAGAATCCTAAAAAATGAAAGAGGGAGAGAAGGGGGCAGGGACAACAAAAATAATTAGGAAAGAAGTTTGAAGATGTTTGGAATCAATATTTTTATCAAATAAAACTTATTAGGTCAATTTTGTGATTAAACATTTCTGAGGTAAAGAATGAAAATAGTAAAAAGTAGCATAACCTTGGTATTGCAGCTATTTTAGTCCTACTATCACTTTAAGAGGCTGTGCAGCATGCAAATATACATGACTTGTTGGAACAAGTTGCTTTTGAGAAGCAAAAATGCAACTGGTGTGGTAGAAAGAGGTAATTGCTCTGAACGCCTCAGTAAGCTTGGGTTGTACAGAATTCACCCGATGTTTTTAGCAACAGAAGTATTACTTATATTTTCTGCTTGATATTAATAAAGGGAGCAGAGTGAAGATCAACATGGACATCTTGGGATTGCTGATGCAATAAGGATCAATGAGATGCATGGCTAGTTCTAAGCATCCCAGCTCGTTAGACTCTATGCGGATTTCCACATACATATGATAGCATCTCCTGAGTAATACATGGAGGCAGAATCCATGTATCATTTAACTGAGAATCTAACTCATCCCAAACCCAGTATGGAGCTGGAAACCACACTACATGGTTGGTTGATTGCTCTGGCTTGCTGTGAGGTGGAAATGAAGAGGGAAAAATCAAGATATCTGGAATATTTGAGAGACATTAGAATCTTGAAAGAATCCCCCTTCTTCCTGAAATACATGAAAGATGAGAGAGAGCAGTGGAAATTCTCTAAACAGTCTGAAAAGACACCTGGAAGATATTTCCAGCACAATCTAAGCCTCTGTAAGAAGATGATGGTAAGACTTCTTATATCTATAGGTTTATTTATAGCAAAAGGTATATTGTGTTATTGGTAACAGCATTAATAATAATTAATCATTGGAACAACTTACCGAGGGACGTGGTGGATTCGCCATCACTTGCAATCTTCAAGTCAAGACAATGTTTTGCTTTTTAAAGATATGCTAATAGCTCAGTTCTGGGCTTGATGTAGGAATGCCTGGGTGAGTTTCTGTGGCCTGCATTATGCAGGCAGCTAGACTAGATGATCACTGGGCCCTTCTGGCCTTAAACATCTATGAATCTATAAATCAGTTTTTAATTGTGATTTTTAAAACTGAAAGCATGCCTTTATCTCACTTTTCTCTTTCTTATATCTGTTGGCAACGCCTGTGTCCTTCTTTGGATTTATTTCCTAAAATAGAATATTCTAGTGCTCGTCTGCTTAAAAAACAGACGCAGCCAAATATTCATGAGTGATTCTACAATAACAACCCAATGTATGCACCCAAAAGAGGTAGAAACATTAAAGGAAAACAGATTTCAGTAGCTGTATACAGTATACAACAGATGTATTGTGCTTACTACTTATAAACACGTTTTTAATATGCTCATCACCACAGTCTCTGTCACAGGAAGAAAGCTTTTAAATACTTGGGTATTTAAGAGACAAGTCCACAGCTATCACATAGGATTTATTTTTATTAGTATACAGCACATATTTAGGTATAACAGTAAATATAATGCATGTAACATGCTATTTTTGGTACAAATATTAGATTAGCACCAGTCTAGTGATTTAAATAAGGTAGAACCACAGTGTTGATAGGACTATACACATAATTCTCTCTAGTATTTAGAAAGAATGAATGCAAATCAAAATGTAAATAAACTCCTCAGTTGTAGTGCCCACTAGAGGGAACTGGAACATTCTCTTCTGGATTTCTGTTTCCAAATTAGTTTAAAAAAAGGCAAATTTGATCTGTATAATGTTAATTATACATTTATTAACACAAATTCAAAAAAAATAGGCTCTTGCTTGAGGAATACATTATATTTTTTTTCACTGAACTTTTTTGCACATTTTTTATATTTGTGAAAGGTGCTGGGTGGACAGTCCTGGTGAATTAAGTCCTCTTTTTATTCACAGAATAAGTGCAGCCTGGAGGGACTACATCAGTAAGTGAATGTATAAGTTCATTCTCCATGCCCATTCAGTTTTTGAGCTTTCTGTTGGACTCTCAGAACTTCTGATAGCAAAGTTTGTCCTCTGATACCTGAACAACCCCATCCACCATAATCTTTAACAGAGTCAAATCCACAAGGCACTGAGGTCAATGAAAACAATTTCGGTGACTTCAGTGGGCTTTGGATCAGGCCCATAGTTCATTGAACATCCCTGAGATGGCGACTTTCTGTCACTACTGACATGGAAATGTATTCAAACCAATGACTTACATGGAAGCATATTATATCCCTCTAACTAACAATCCCTTGAGCCATCCAGTGCTCTCATTGACCTGGTTTGGATTCATTACATTCTTTGAACCTCAGTATCCTTGCCAGAAATACAAAAGCTGTTCAAATTCTATCCTTGAATTTAAGGAAAGATCAAAGAGAATTCAGATATTATGAAATTATTTAAATCAGGGGTCGGCAACCTTTCAGAAGTGGAGTGCTGAGTCTTCATTTATTGCGTGCCAGTAATACATTTTAACATTTTTTAGAAGGTCTCTCTATAAGTCTATATATTATATAACCAAACTACTGTTATATATAAAGTAAACAAGGTTTTCAAAATGTTTCAGAAGCTTTATTTAAAATTAAATTAAAATGCAGATCTTATCAGTTTAGTGAGATCCTTGCCCTTGCTTTTCCTTGCTGAGTTTTCCAATGTCTGGCACGTATTTGGATACTTTAAGCTGCACACAGGCTTCTGAGTGATCAGTTGTAAACCGGCTGGCAGCAGGTCAGTGGCTGGAACCCCAGATCGGCAGCTGAGGTGAGTGGAGCTGGCTGCTGGTAGGGATGAGCAGGGCCAGAGGCCTGGACCCTGTCTGGTAGGGGGCCTGTGCTGGAACTCTAACTGGAAGCAAGGTGAGTGGGGCTGCGGAGGGGACCCAGGCTGGCAAGGGGCCAGCAGCCAGAACCCCAGAGCAGCGACTGAGCAGCTCAGCCCGCCGCTGCTCTGGGGTTCCGGCCGCCGGCTCCTGCCAGCCAGGGTCTCAGCCCGCTGCCAGCCTGGGGTTCCTTCACCCAGGCCAGCAGCGGGCGCTGAGTGGGGCCGGCAGTGGGACCCCGGCTGGCAAGGGGCCAGCAGCAGGAAACCCCAGAGCGGCGGCAGGCTGAGCGGCTCAGCCCGCCCCTGCTCTGGGGTTTCGGCCGCTGGCTCCTGCTAGCCGGGGTCTCAGCTCGCTGTCAGCCTGGGGTTCCTTCACCCAGGCCAGCAGCGGGCCCTGAGTGGGACCGGCGGCGGGACCTCGGCTGGCAAAGGGCCAGCAGTGGGAACCCCAGAGCGGGGGCGGGCTCAGCCCGCCGTCACGTGCCATCAAAAATCGGCTCGCTTGCCAAAGGCTGCCAACCCCTGATTTAAATGGTTCTTATATCTAAACATTCACAATACCTTGGAAATAAGATTTTTAGCTGTATTATTGTATAGAAAAAAGAATCTAGCGAGGCTATTAAGCATATGCAGTTTGCATTTTTGTTGATGGAACTATCTTAAATCCTCTTCAATTACTTTAAGGCTGGTTTAAATGAGAGTGACACACACATAGGGCTAAATCCTTCCCTGCTCATACTCAAGCACAACTCCCTTTGAGATCACTGGGGACTTTGCCTGTACAGTTATGCTGAAATCCAACTCTCCCAACACAAAGCCTCAAGATTAGCAGAGGGAACTAAGTGGGGTGGGTGATGGAATTTACAGATAGGAACACGTACAAAACCACAGAAAAGGAAGCAAGGCTGCTGCACAGTCTTCTGCACAGTTACTGCCATCTGTATTGCTATCCCTCTGTTCTCCCAAGGTGGCAATAGGTGATTAGATTTGGTCATGCATGGCCTGCTTTGGCCTGGCCCCAACAGCCCCATCCATGTTGGCCTATTCCAAACTGGCACAGAGACCCCTCTGCAGAGTTCTGGGGGTGCTGATGCCCTCTGTGAGGTCACTCCATCCATTCCCCTTCCCTCCACACAGTCACACTGGGGAGCTTAAATGATGCGGAAGGTTGTGTAGGCCTTTCACAGTTGAGTGACTTACACCCTCATTGTACTGCAGTATTGCTCACCTCTGATGTCATTTGGTTAGGTATTGAGGCAAAAAGGTTACCCTGAGAGACTCATTAGACACAGCAACTCGGTAGTGTATCCAGTACACTACATTAAGAAGTTATTTTTCTAGTTTTTGTTCCAATTAAATTCTGAGTTTTTAAAAACTCTCTCAGAAATAAACTTAAATTTTAAAAAACGCGTCAAATCCCTAAGGATTGTACTTGCAATTGGGTCCTAGTGGGCAGATCCAATTAGGATCTAAAGTCTTTGGGGTTGGATTGTGGCTGACATAAGAACGGCCATACTGGGTCAGACCAAAGGTCCATCCAGCCCAGTATCCTGTCTACCAACAGTGACCAATGCCAGGTGCCCCAGAGGGAGTGAACCTAACAGGTAATGATCAAGTGATCTCTCTCCTGCCATCCATCTCCACCCTCTGACAAACAGAGGCTAGGGACACCATTCCTTACCCATCCTGGCTAATAGCCATTAATAGACTTAACCTCCATGAATTTATCTAGTTCTTTTTTAAACCCTGTTATAGTCCTAGCCTTCACAACTTCCTCAAGCAAGGAGTTCCACAGGTTGACTGTGCGCTGTGTGAAGAAGAACTTCCTTTTATTTGTTTTAAACCTGCTGCCCATTAATTTCATTTGGTGGCCCCTAGTTCTTATATTATGGCAACAAGTAAATAACTTTTCCTTACTCACTTTCTCCACACCACTCATTATTTTATATACCTCTATCATATCCCCCCCTTAGTCTCCTCTTTTCCAAGCTGAAAAGCCCTAGCCTCTTTAAACTCTCCTCATATGGGACCAGTTCTAAACTCCTAATCAATTCAGTTGCCCTTCTCTGAACCTTTTCTGTTGCCAGTATATCTTTTTTGAGATGAGGAGACCACATTTGTATGCAGTATTCAAGATGTGGGCATACCATGGATTTATATAAGGGCAATCAGATATTCTCCGTCTTATTCTCTATCCCTTTTTGAATGATTCCTAACATCCTGTTTGCTTTTTTGACCGCTGCTGCACACTGCGTGGACATCTTCAGAGAACTATCCACAATGACTCCAAGATCTCTTTCCTGATCAGTTGTAGCTAAATTAGTCCCCATCATATTGTATGTATAGTTGGGGTTATTTTTTCCAATGTGCATTACTTTACATTTATCCACATTAAATTTCATTTGCCATTTTGTTGCCCAATCACTTAGTTTTGGGAGAACTTTTTGAAGTTCTTCACAGTCTGCTTTAGTCTTAACTGTCTTGAGCAGTTTAGTATCATCTGCAAACTTTGCCACCTCACTGTTTACCCCTTTCGCCAGATCATTTATGAGTAAGTTGAATAAGATTGGTCCTAGGACTGACCCTTGGGAACACCGCTAGTTACCCCTCTCCATTCTGAAAATGTACCATTTATTTATTTATTTATTATTGTGCAGGTGGGCAAGGTGAGGAGAAGACAAAAGCAGACTTCCTTCCCCATGGTGCTCCTGCACTGTGGGCCTGATCCAACTCCCACTGAGATTCTTCCCATGGACTCCAGTGAGTTCTGGATCAGGTACCATGCTAGGACAGCAATGATAGAAGCACTCACATCCCTAACAGCAACCCAATATCAGCAACAGAGCTCACTCTGCAGATGAGCCCATTACCCCTCCCCCCACCACTTCTCTCCCTATAACTGCAAGTGAAAACAAAGCTAATAGAACTGTAAATCTGTAGGTTTTATTGCTGCTGAATTCAAACAACAGACAATTTACATTCACCAGTCATGGAACTTGCAAGTTGACTGTTGTGTTCGTTTATTTTTGTTTAAAAATAAATGAATAAATTTACATGGCAATTAGGTGTAAGACCTAAGGCTTTAGTCTTCGGTGTAACAAAATTTGGGCATCTCATTAGAACAAATGACAGATCCTAAACCAAGAACCAAACATTCTGAAACTTGGTGGTGCTTGAATTCTGGATCTATACTGAGTCTTTCTCTAATGAGAACCTATTTGCCCACCCCTTCCTTGCTATGCTTAGCACTGTGCTACCACATTCACTCGATTTGACTCTAATATACCAACACAGGAGTATAAAAATAAACCCTGATGATAATAAAGTTTCTTTTCTACACTTATACCCTCAGAATACTGCAAATATAAGTTAAATATTCTGTGCACAAGAAAGGCCAGATGGGTATGAGTGTCAGTTTTGTTTACAGCTTTCTTGAGCAGATATAGTTGTGCCTATTACCCTTCCTACAGTCTTTTGCTTGCCATTTCCCTCGCCTCTGCACCAAAACACAATTCTTTCCTTGCTTTGAAAGGCGAGATGGACTTCTTCTCCAGTTTGTGAAGGTGACAGGTTCTCCTCCATGCCACTCCCAATGGCCAGGATTAACTTGGTCATTAAAGCCTAATATGAATCAAAAAGATCAAGTCAGTGATATGCAGTTCACCTGCAGTCTGAAGCCTTCTGCTACAAAAGAAAGCCTATTCTTCTATTTCTCTAGTGAGAAGTACACAGAAGACTGTTTTGAAGGAAGAGAGCCAGAGCCATCCCTTGGGTAGGGCAAATCGGGAGCTTTGGGGGGTCCCGCGGGCCAGTGCGATTGGCCAGCGCGGTCGGTCCCAGAAGAGACAAATCCATCAGTTCCACACCAGGACCTGCACCCCCCCTAGGGACAGCCCTGAAGAGAGCACACCAGGACTGCAAGTAAAATACAGTGTGACTTCTGGTAAGGCAACTAGCATCATGTGAACAAGGAGACAGCATCCTTTCCCTTACTGTCACCCACCCCAAAATCTCTCCATTTCTCTAGACTTTATGTCCAAGTTTTTCTTGTGATATTTATCTTAATTTCCCTAATAAGCATATTCTAGTCAAGAATGCAGCTTCAAACTTTATCCCAGCCCTCTTGTGAAAACAAATTCCTGTCAGCCTTTTAACATTCATACAGGCCTTGTCTAGACTAAGAAAATAGTTCATGTCTGAAAACATGTTGGCTAACAATTTTAAACATGTCTTTTCACCTAGTGCAGGCACAGCTTACCACCTTTAAAGCGTTAGTTGGTTCACCCCAAACACATAAATAGTGTTTAAAATAGTATTATCTAAGATATTCAGACATATCCTATTTTCCTAGTCTAGACAAGGCCCCAGATGGAAATATATGAACTCACTAAATTTGTTGAGCCTGATTCTCCGCTCCATTACAACAGTTTTATACCACTGAGGTCAATGGAGTTGTACTAGTGTAAAACTGATCATCCGGCAGGGGTGAGGGGCCGGGTGAGAAATTAAGATGAAATACCTCTCTATGTTACAGATTTGCAGAACTGGAACTTTCCTTTTATACATTTCTCTAAGTATTCAATAAAAGCAATTTAAGGAAAAAGGACAATGGACCAGATGGACAGTTGGTCTGTGTTCCTATGTTCCAAAGTAAAGCTCATAGACACTAGTGTCTCTGGGAGACAATCATATTTAACATTTTGTATACTTGCCTATCCAAAAGGGTTTCCTTCCACTGAAGTCCCACAGCCACTGCATATGTTGTTTCGTGACCACACTTGCTAGACTTCCAAGGTATCTAGGTTCAAAAAGAGAGGATGGAATAATCAGAATTATCCATGGTGAGACATCTTTCCAATTGACTTTTCTATGAGTGTTTATTCTACCATAAAGACACATATTACAATTTCACATGAAAACTGATGTTTGGCTCAAAGAATACCCTTTACACGGGTTTATTTGTAAAACTCATGTCCATCTGGACAGACTGTGTAGTCACTAATCAATTACTTAAAGGTAATAGATATTATATACTCATATGTGATATTTTAAACCCAATGTTAATTCTTTCACAAGAAATTTTTTAACATGGACTTAAAAGTACATGCAGTTTTTTTGGTAGGTGGATTGTTTTGCAAACAAGAGTTTTGTAACAGTAAGCTAAGGTCCATCTACCCTACAAACACAACCAGGTTGAGGAATCTGGTCACATTATCCATTTTGTAGTGCAAACTCTCTTTTAACCATGCCCCTGGAACTATGCTAAAGCCTTGGATAAATAAAGGCAAAAACCTCATTTACACTTCAAAATGGAACTGTGTTATAAATGGATCAGGGGACAACTGGAGTATAAACAGATAGATTCCTGACACAGTTGAAACTGTAGTGTAGATGAGGCTTAAATGTCTTTAATAAAGTCCTAGCAGAAATTTTTAAGACTTGTTTGATTTACAGTGTCTTCCACTTAATTCAATCAGCAGTTGAGCTGGGTCTCTGCTTACATATGTTCTAAACCTTGGAATCAAATCATTTAATTTAACAGCAGTATAATCCTTTGATTGGTTCATGAAAATTCAGTAAAACTAAATCACTGGCACTAGAAAGTTGCTTCACCAAGTGCTACAAACCTGTGATATACACCCTAGTGATCATAGCAATGAGATCAACCTCTGATTTCAATCCAAATAATAGAAACACCTGATTGCAGCCAGAAGAAAGCACTGGTGTGGCTATAATAAAATCTAATCTCAAGAGAGGTCCCTTGCAAATATTGATTTAAAAATCATGCTTGTATGAAATGACATTTCTAATCATTACATGTAGTCAGGGCTCTAGACACACTGTAAGAAAATGAGAACAGTTCTGAAAGTGCATGTATGATAATAGCATTAACCTAGGCTGGGCTCCAGACAGGCAGGAAATGACAATGTAATAGTATTTATGGAGCTAAATGTAAATCTAACTAAACCCTAATTAAAAAGTCTCTACTGAAGAGGACATACTACTTTATTTAAAATACACACAACACTCATTGTGGTGCCAAATATTTCCATTTACATTTTTTTCTGTGTGCTTTAAAATCTATTCCATGCATTCAAAAGCATCCATCACCTCAGCGCAATCAATCCCAACTAAGCAAACATTTCAGCTAAATGGTGCCTTCCGAGGGTGGTCACGGCAATATGCAAGGCATTCAGCATAAAGGAGAGAGTTTAGATCCTTTCTCTCGTGCATTAGGGCAGCTCTGTACCAAACTAAAACTGCCCAATAGCCAGTTTAACCAGGTACAGGAAGGATCCCTATAGCATAGGGGGATCCTTGAGTGGCGCAGAGCAGCTGCAACAGACTCTGCATCACATGCCCTATGGCCAGCAGAGGAGTAATGGTTGGGGCAACTCCATACTGCTGGCTAGCCCAGGCTGTCATATCTCATTTGGGGCCATTAGCACCAATACTAGTTCACACAGCCAGACACACAGCTGGCCCAAGATCAAGGGAGTGTCAAAGCCATTGAGCAGCTCCCAGACATAGCCTTAGATCTGTTTTTAATTTTTTGTATTATGGTAGCACATAGGAACCCCAGTCACAGACCAGGACCCAAATGTGTTAGGTGCTATACAAACACAGCAAAAAGATGGTCCCTGCCCTGAAGAGCTACAATCTGAGTTATGAGCTCTGGCTGTTAGTAAGTTTTATTTAAACGCTAATGCATGGAGGGTGCAAATAGATTTCAGGTCAATGGAAGAGAGGCCCTGATTTTCCTGTATAATCCAGACCCTTTGTGTCACTCAGGCAGTGCAAAGTGCATGGCCCCCATAAAATTCCCCTTATGGAGCGGAGCTCCCTAGTGGAGGGAGGAAGGAGGGGGCTCCCATGCAAGCAGAGCTCTGCTACACTGCTCCTCAACTGATGCAGTGTCCCCCAGGGCATAAACTGGAACAGCATCCTAGGCTGCTCTAACTACTGTTGGGTCTGGGCCAGTGCAGAATCAGAGTACTGTAAAGGAGCTCTCCTCCCCTCATGCCAACAGGAGCTTGGAGGCAGGGGAGAATTGAGCCGAGAGAATCAGATTCATAAACAGTTCTTTGACAAGTGTTGAAAACCTTCTGTTACTCAAATGGAAGGTTTCCTTTCCACTGAGCAACCCTCTTTGTTGTGTGTTAAACATTCTTCAGTAACCCATGCATTGTCATGTCTACATTGTCTGACTGAGAACAATACCATGCAATTAGTGTGGCAGAAATGATGCAAGTTTGGCGGGGCAATTAGCTGTTTTTATATCACACCATGACACAGAACGATTCTGTTTCAAGGGAAGCATTTTATTATGAAATTTCATGACTTGTCGCTGTTGAGGGGCTGAACAAATAGGTTCATATGCCATCCAGAGTGCAGATTCTAATGGGCGAGTGTCATGTTTATGTCAAAACCCAATGCTGAAACATGAACCCTGTCACTTTGTAGCTAAGCCCCAAATCTGAATGTCTTCAGGTTCATTACTCCCTAATGGTCAGTCCTGTCAGAATGAAGATATGGACAATCCTACGCACTGTAAAAGTATTAATGGACCATATTATGCCTTAGGATCTGTATTTATGGCTCCTAAGTGGAATCCAAATGTGGCTCAGTATTTTCAGCTGAGACTGCTGCTATTAATTTGTTTGCACTGTCTCCAGTTACAAATGGATGGTATCTGGTGCAAGGATGTTTTCAGAAAGGGTCATTAATTCAGCAACTAACTCCCCATCCTGAGGTGTGATCGACATACTGTTTTTGTACCAGTATAAAAACTACATTTGTTAGGGGTGTGATTTTCTTTATCATTATAGTTATACCAGTACAACTGCTAGTGTGGATACTGGCACATTTTTGCCAGTCTAACTGCACCCATATTAACCCTTTAACTACACCTCTGACACAACATAACGCGACCTGATATAACACAAATTTGGATATAACGCAGTAAAGCAGTGCTCCAGGGTGGCGGGGCTGCACACTCCGGCGGATCAAAGCAAGTTCGATATAATGTGGTTTCACCTATAACGCGGTAAGACTTTTTGGCTCCCAAGGACAGCGTTATATCGGGGTAGAGGTGTATATCAGTATAGTTAAACTTCTGTACAACTTCTCTGCTTACACAAGGCCTGAGTGTGTTGCTCTTCCAGGGACTCTGCAAGGTGTATTTATCTATCCAAGTTTGGTTTTCAACCTTTTTTCATTTGGAGACGCACAATTTTTGAATGGAGGTGCAGACCTCTTTGGAAATCTTAGACATAGTCTGTGGACCCCAGGGGTCTGCAGACCACAGGTTGAAAACCACTGGGGTAGAATATACAGGGTACATTTTTTTTCTTTAAAGGGAATTAACCTTAGTTGGAGTCTTACTGCCATTGAGCCAGCAAGATTGTAGCTTAACTTTTAAAAAAAAATTGTATATCCATCAACACTGTTTCTTATAAAATTGGGGGCGGGGAGTAAATAATCCACAGAGTAGTTCTCCCAGATGAAAACCTGGTAGTGTAATGATGTTTTATAGTGTTCTGAAACTGGCTGTTTCATCTGTAAACACATTACAGATCAAACATCACCAGTAAAATAATGAGGAGCTATGCATGCATTACTTTGGGAATGAAACGGCTGATCTGTTCCAGTAACAGAAATAAGAGAATAGAAAAATAAAACCATTTATTAACTTATCTTCCAATCAGCACTTCAAAATGAATGAAACATCTTCTGAGACTGGGACCTGCACATCTGTAAGCAATTTGCAGTAGAGGGGGGAGGAGCGCTCATTTAACATGATAAAGCCTCCTCAAACTGAAGTATCCAGCTTTAATTAAATTATCACGGCTCATCAAGAGAGATTTGTTTGCATGATAGTTAGCGGATATACTTGGACTCTTCCTCTTGGTGTTCCATACCATCACTTAACCTCCTTAAATTTTCATATTACACACAACTTTCCAGCAGGAAAGGAGTCCCTGCAGCTACTCACACACACAAGGTGGACTTCCCAGAGAACAGAGGTCTGACTAATATAGTTTAGGGAGGGTTCCCTCCCAGCCAGTTGAATGTTAAAGGGATTTCAGAGAGAAGATAATCAGGATCTGCTGGCCTGACAGCTTTGTTCGGGATGTTGTCTGGAGGAGGACAGGAAAAGGGTCATTATATGGCTCACATTACTCACCAGGCAAAACAAAGTCATAATGAATGCGAGAGCATATTGTTGCCAATATAAATACAACCAGGGGAAAACTGCCTCAAACAGCAGAGCTCAGGAGAGGGAGCAAAGCTCTTTCTGGCCTTCCCAGCATGGCAGCAATAGGGTTGGACAGGATCTACACCCTCTCCCCTTCCTCCCCCCTTCACTTGCAGGTAGAGAGGAAGTACGCTGCATTATCAACCTCAAGCTTTCAAAAGGTCACCAACCAGATCTATTGAAATCATGAAATTAACAAAAATGAGGTTTATTTTCTTTGCCTTCTGGTTTCTGAACCTTTAGGGTGCACTTGGGTTGCACTTTTCCAGCTTTTCTCTACAGCCAGGGGGTCTAGCAACTTGCTTTTTAAAAATGGAAGCTGAGACTGATGTAATCACTAGGGTCCAGGAGCTGGAACTTTAAGAACACCACGAGACTCATGATAAAAATCACCAAAGTTGGCCACACTAGGTGACATTTTAGTAAGGATAGGTGAATTGGTCTGGATGGTATAAGAACCAAGACCTAACCTTTGCCAATTATCCAGAGCAGACTCAAACTGTCATGAAGGACTGGAATCAATTAAGAAGTACTTTATTCTCCATGCTCCTCCTGCTGCCCTCTTTGCTCAAAACACGTTTCAATCCAGTCCCCGTTAACCTCTTCTCACCTCTGGCTCCTTTCTGTTGTAACCTTTATATTACAGAATAGTTGCAGGGCCCAGATGAGTATGGGCTAGGCCCAATCCGCTTTCAATTCCTATGCAGTCTACCGCTCTCCACAATTTGTAATTCTCCAGCAGGGCTGCCAGAGTGGTCTGGAGCATTGCTCTACCACCTGAAATCTAGGATGGAGCTTTGCACTGGCACTTGAGAAAGCTATGCTCTGGCAGCTCTGCCTAGGTATTTTCAAAGCCTCAGGGTAGATCTACATTGCATCTGGGAGGTGTGATTTGCAGTGGAGGTAAACTGACTTACGCTACCTCAGCTTGAGCTAGCATGCTAAAATAGCTGCGTGGATGCTGCAGCATGGGCAATGCCTCGGGCTAGCCACCCAAGTGCAGACCCAGGAGGTCAGGTGGGCTATGTCTCAGGCGGCTAGCCCAAGCCACTGCCCGTGCTGCAATATCCACCCTGCTAAATTCAAGTGAGGGCCATAGACCCTCCTCTTCCCACCCCTTCACCCCCCAAAAATCTCAGAATTGGGAAGCAAGCTCAGAGGCCATTGCCCATATCAAGGGATATAGGCTCATAGGACTTTAAGTTCAGAAGGGACCATCATCATCTAGTCTGACCTCCTGCACGTTGCAGGCTACAGAACCTCACCCGCCCAGTCCTGTAATAGAGCCATAACCTCTGGCTGGGTTATTGAAGTCCTCAAATCATGATTTAAAGACTTCAAGTTACAGAGAATCCACCATTTACACGAGTTTAAACCTGCAAGTGACCCATACCCCATGCTGCAGAAGAAGGCGAAAACTCCACAGGTTATCTGTCAATCTGACCCATGGGAAAATTCCTTTCCGACCCCCAATATGCCAATTAGTTAGACCCTGAGCATGAAGGAGGTAGCTCCAGTAATATGAATGAAGCAGGATGGGAGCAGAGCATAGAAGAGAGGGAGTAAAGGAAGGGGCCACGGAGCTGGAGAAGCAGACGGGAGTGGGGTGGGTCATTCCTTAAGAGCCCTAAGAAGAGTTCTTCTGGAACCCTCTGGCTGCTGCCATTACGCCTCAGTGCAGCAGTCCTAGGAGCAGCAATACTTGCACAGCCTCAGACCCAAGTGTGGGGAAAGGAGCAGAAGGAGTTGGGCACAGAGACAAGTTCTGGCCTCTGTTCTGCTCAGCTGCAGAGTCTGTCAGGGGCTCCAGGAGAAATAAGTCCCTAGAGGCAGGCAGTGCTTCCCAAGTTCTGTCCCCATACTCTTCCCGCTGTGCTGGACCTTGTGCTGGGAGGTCTCTATGCCTGCTCCCTGCCTTTCCGAGGACAGCCCAGACCAGGGACCATGGAACAGGGGTCCCAACACCAGGGATGTACCCTCACCTGGGACACAACCAACCCCTAACCTGGTTCCTCCCCAGCCACCTCTCCTGGGGTGAGCCTGGTCCTAACCATCCCTCACTCCAGTCATTCTCCATACCTCCCCCTTCTGGTCAGCCAGTTGTAGCCCTCTGCCCCGCTCCATCCCATGTCAGCTCTGCTGTCTTGTATTTTCACCTCGCCACAACTGACTGCACAATTCTGCCACCATTATCCATGCCCCAAAGTTTCTTATCCAAGTTGGAATCAGCACTCAGAGGACTGCTATGGACAGAAATGGATCCTGGAGAACCCCCAACTTGGGCTCTTGGGGAATGACCCTACACCTGTCTACTTCCCTAACTCCCTGGCCCCTTCCTTTACTCCCTCTTCTCCTCTCCTGTTTCAGTTGACCTCTGTTTTTTTTACTCACAAAATTGTGAGCCCAATTAATGTCCCTTGGATGCATAAGTAACTTAAGTCTCTGGCTGTGCCCAGAAATACAATTTTTAGATGTTTAACTGAGTTAAGGCCCCCTTCAAGTAAGGGTGAAAAATGTGGTTTCACCCTGTCTAAGCATGCTGTGATGCTTACAGGATAGAAAGATGCAGACACAGTTGCTGAAGAGAATAGAAAAGAAGGAAGAAATGCACCTACCATGCATATGCTTTGCTAGGCTCCAGCACTATAAAGTTAATCAGAACATCACTGCTCTCCCAGATTCCACTGTATGGTAGAGAATGAACAAACTCGCCTCTCCAGAGTTATGCTGAGTCTTTGCTGTAAGCATTGCCAACCCCAACCTTTCAAAAATCACGAGTCAGCCCCCCACGCCCCAAAAAAGAAAAAAAAATCACAAGATTGTTTAGAAATTTCATGCCTTTTAAGCCATTTAATATTGGGTTCTCTTTATTTGCCTTCTAGTCTTGAAGAATGAGAACTTTATAGGATCAAACTTTTCTCGGCAAGTTGGAGGGTTAGAAATGTTGTGTTTAAATGCAAGCCAAAATTTCCATGTCTTCACATGACTCCAAGAACGAGTGCTTTAAGCAAAAAAAAGCAAACAAACAAAAAAAACCCCACACCAAATATTGTGAGACACAATAAAATTGTAACAGCTGTACGCAGGAAAGTGGTGGGTCACAAGCTGGAGAGAGAAATATGTGAGAAATTGAGTCTTCATTCTCTTCAGCTCCCCATTCAGTGATGCTGTGGGGGGAAGCGTCACCCCTGCAAACAAGGCATTGCAGGAATGGAAATCATGAAGAAGGGGTGGGGGGTAAGCATCCAACACAAACATTTTGAGATTAACCTTTCTTGGGCTTTTATTCTGAGCCAGAACCCTCAGCTTTGCAGCATCAATGGAATGGGGGTTAACAGAATCAACTGAGCACAGGAAGCAGCTCAGTGCAGAAGCAACACCCAATTACCACATAAAATGATTAATCTGAAAAAGACTTACTGTTCCCGGCAAGCCCGAGCAGCTGTATTCCAAGTGACTTTCTGGTCTGTGATCAGGAAATAGCAGCTGCCTCCATGATGGCTCCATCCAGATGGGCATTTTTTCATGCTAACATCCTGAAATAAAAAGCTTGCTCATGCTCAGAGTGACTTGTTAATAGCATCAGCCTTCTAAAGCACTGCTTTAACATGCCTCTTCAGGATCAAAACAAACACAAACATTTGTTTATATTAATAAAACTGAAGGCATTTTTTAAATTCAACATCAGTAACTTCAAAAGATAGACTGCGTGCAACATTCATCTAGTGGAGTAGGCATGCACAAGATCAAAGCAGTTACACTAAATTTAGGGCTTAAATTCTCACACAATGTTTCCCAGAGCTCCCCAGGCCTCCCCATTTAGTGTTCTGGGATGCGCTAGGGCTTGGAGCTTCAGCCCCGGGGGGCATGCTGGGGCATGAGGCTTCTGCAGTGTGCCAGGGCTCAGGGCTTTAGCCCTGTGGGGCGTGCCAGGGCTTGGGGTGTCTGCGGTGCATCAGGGCTGACCTCCTGCACAACAGGCCATAGTATCTCACCCAGTAATTCCTGTATGAAGCCCAAAAACTTGTGGTTGAACTTGCATGTATATTTTAGACAGACATTCAATGTTGATTTAAAGACTTCAAGCGACTAAGAATCCACCACAGCCCTTGGTAAGCTGTTCCAGTGGTTAATTACCCTCACTAATAAAATTTAGACCTTATTCACAGTTTGAAATTGTCTAACTTCAACTTCCAGCCACTTGACTTTATGTCTTTGTCTGCTAAATTAAAGAGCCCTCTGATATTGATTCCCTGTATGGTGTTTGCAGCCCATGAGCAAGTAGGCTCCCAAACTTCCCTTCAATATGCTGAATAGGTCGAGCCCCTTAAGTCTCTTACTGTAAGGCATACTTTCCATGCCGCCAATAAATCTGGTTATTCTTCTCTGATTATGTATGTATTAGAGCAGCAGCCAGGAGCTCCACTGTGCTAGGCACTGTACATTAGGGTCTGCCTACACTGCAATTGAGCACCAGCAGCTGACCCATGCCCACAGGACTACACAGTCCTTCCCGCAAGGGATTTCAGTTTTTTGTAATAGAGGTTTTGTGTTTGCTTGATACATTCAGGCTATATTTTGGATGAGTCCTATAGTTGCAGGGTCACCGAGCTCAGGCTCCAGCCTGAGCCCGAACATCTACACGGTCATTAAACATCCCCATAGCCCAAGCCCTGTGAGCCCGACTCAGCTGGCACAGACCAGACGCAGGTGTTTAATTGCAGTGTAGACGTACCCAAAGAGATTAAGAAACACTCCTTGTCCCAAAGAGTTTACAATCTAATTCAGACTGTATGACCGATACAAGATAGAATTAGTTGCCATTTCACACAGGCCAGTGAAGAGTGACCATTGGGGCCATCCAGTTTCCTCAGAGATTTAGGTCCTGATTCTTTGGTGTGTCTGAGAAGTGCTCAGTGTACATCTAAGGAGATGTGTACAAAGATGGCGTTAAGGGTTTGTCTAGATGAACAGTTAGTACGTAGCACACTAGGGTGTAATGCTACAGCCAGAGCCGTCCCTAGGGTCCGGCAAATCAGGGCTACCGCTCTGGGCCCCGTGCTTTGGGGGGCCCCCCGACGCGGGCTAGCACGATTGGCCGGTGTGCATGGACAGCGCGTGAACCGCCCCTTCCACCCGAGGGAGAGCGCACCGCCAGAAGGGAGAGCATGCGGCGGCGCCGCTACAGCCTCCCCAGTCCCAGAGCGCTGGGAGGGAGAGTGTACAGTGGTGCTGCTTCAGCCTCCCCAGTCTCGGGAAGGCGGGCAGCATGGCCCCAGCCCCCTGGAGCCCAGCGGCACTACCGAAGTGGGGCCCTGGGCGTGGAGTGTGCGTGGGGCCATGCTTGGCTGTTTGGGGAGGCCCCGCCTCCCCTCCCCTGCCCGAAGTGGTCAGTCACGGAAGTGATGGATTCGTCACTTCTGCCCTGGGCCTCGCACCCCCCCCCTTAGGGAGGACGGCCCCGGCTACAGCACACTAGCATGTTGCACACTAAGGGTGTGTCCACACTGGCAAGTTTCTGCGCCACAAGTTATACCACTTTTATTAAAACGCTGGAATTAAACCGCTGTTGCGTGTCCACACTGTGCTCCTTGTGACGGTGGAGTGCATCCCCATTAGCAGCGCTTGCAATGGCAAAGAGAGCAGTGCACTGTGGTAGCTATCCCACTGGCTGCAGGGTGCTTTGGGAAGGGTTTGCAATGCCTCATGGGACAGGCACAGTGTCACATGATGCAGGTTTCCCAATCCCATTGTTCCATGGGCATCATTCTACACTGCCAGCTGCTTTTCAGCTGAAGTGGAGGGGGGAGAGGGAACACACAAACACACACACACACACCCCTGCCTCTGTGTTCAATAGCATGAGCATTCCACATTAATGTGTCCCAGAGCAGATCAGCTTTGTGTCCCAGAGCAGATCAGCACAGCACGCAATGGCTGTCAGAAAAGGAACTTTGAAAGGGGAGGGGCGCATGTCTCCAGGGCAGCCGAGTTAAAAACAATGAGTAGAGCAGCCACTTGAGGCGTTATGGGACAGCCCCAGAGGCCAATTACAGCGCAGAAAGCAATCAAGTGTCTACACCGGCAATAGAGCGCTGGAGCCTCTGCACAAATAGCCTTACGACTCTCGTCGAGGTCGGTTTTTTGCAGCGCTGCAACTGAGGAGTTTCTGCGCACAAAGTGGTTTGGCAGTGTGTACACATCTGTAGTTTGAGCGCAAAAAGCTGCTTTACTGTGCAGAAACTTGCCAGTGTAGACAAGCCCTTAATGTCCATGTGGACTCTGCTACTATGCACTGGGAGTTTTGTAGTGCACATCGACCTACTCTGCTTTGAAATGGAAGTAGGTCAAAGCACACTACGGGAATCTTAGTGCATGGTAGCAGGGGCCATGCAGCCAGTTAGTGCACAACTCCCTAGTGCACTGTAGTTTTACATTCCAGCTTGCTGCATGCTAACTGTTCATCTACACAAGCCCTAAGCCATGTTAATGCTTCACTGAACCTAGGGCATCAGAATGCCAGACTGGTCTGCAATATAATTTAGAGCAACCTGGCTACTGTATGCTGGCTGCCAATGTCAGCTGGAGATCAGCTGGGTGCATGGATCCCTAGCCAAACTGCATCCACTAGTAGGCAGGAAGAGGATGGCATGGGAAGCCACTATTGCAGTGACACACCACTCAAAGATCCTCCTATGTAGGGGAAGCCCTGGTAGCCAGGTGTAGGACTGCTTTGCCCCACCAGAGCAGAGCAAAGCATCCCTAACATACCAGTGAATCAGGCCCCTACGCTTCATCTCAGATATTCATTTCATACCAGCATGTCTAAAAGTGTGTCTGTTGGGGTTGCATGCATCTGATAGTCACACGTTCCTGAGGCTTAATGATGAAGCAACACTGATGAGACTGCACCTGAAGATGTTTAAGAACATCATGACAAGAAACAGTATTTTGACAGGTTTTTGTTAAGCCTTCTTGAAGTGCTTTTACTTAAAAACGTATTACAAAGAAATGTTCCCTTTTACTCATCCAAAATGTAGCCTGAATGTATCAACCAAAACACAAAATCTCTATTACAATAAACTAAAATCCTTTGTGGAAAGGACTATACAATTTAACATTGGAGAAGCTTAAAATTAAATGCACACAAAGGGCAGGCGATAGTTACCTTGCTTTTTGAAGTCCATAACTTCCACGAAATTCCATCACACTGAAATAAGTTTTGGGTACTTTCTTCAAAATGCAAGAGCCCCTCTAAATCAGGTGTGCAGCTCTTTGGAAAGGAGAGGACCAGGTCCTGAAAAAGGGAATAACATTTGCATATTGAAGCAAAATGGTTTTATGGAACAGAATAAATGGTCAGTTTTTACTTCAAGAGATTGTGACATGCATAGGTGCTGACTTACTCAGATTCTGGGGGGGTGCTCGACCCCTGCTCTTCCCCAGACCCCACTCCCACTCCACCCCTTCCTCCAAACCCTCACCCCTGCCTCTTCCTGCCCCACCTCTTCCTGCCCGCAGCACCTCCTGCACGCTGCTGAACTGCTGATCCACGGCAGGCAGGAGGCACTGGGAGGGAGAGGGAGGAGCTGATCAGCAGAGCCGCAGGAGGGCGGGAGGCGCTGATCCACAGGACTGCTATTTTTTTTCTGTGGGTGCTCCAGCCCCAGAGCACCCATAGAGTCGGTGCCTATGGTGACATGCAAATACTAAATGGGTTGAGTTGTTAATTTATCCATGTATTGGCTAAATTAGTCTAAAGAATTAGAAGAGTAAATATTAGAGGTGGGGGTGGGGTTGGACTGGAGATCTCAGAGGTATTAAATCATCTTAGATAACAACTTAAGTTAAAAATCGATGGTGAAAACTCATATGGAACAAAAGGTTTTCATACCTGTTGGTTAGAGTGTGATTCAGACATCAACTCTGCCTTATCAGCTTGTGGGACTTCTGTCTTCCTGGAGGAGATCACATTTATCTTTGTCCGCCCTTGGTTAATTATTGACTTGTTAGCCTTGTTTGCATTAGCTGATGAGGTGTCATCCTCTACTCTGAGAGAGACCAATCCATGATACTTGATTTTTAAAGTAACCAAAAGAAAAAGAAAAAAAGAGGATTATCATTCATAAGCAACTTCAAAATTTTCCTCACAAAAATGGAAAGGAATTTTGAAACACAAGTTATTGTCAATCAAGGGGAGGAGACCCCCAAAGAAAAAGACAAAGAGAATGAGAAAGTGCAGTCAAATTATTAAAGTTGTTATACATGCAGCTAAGATAAGACATAATAAGGAAAGAATCATAGAAGAAGCCACACCATATTATTCTTACTTTAAAAGCCACATTAGTTCCATTTCTTAACACAGATGAAGGATAAACCTGAAAAGGCCAGACAGTGAAATGAGTTTGGTGTATCTACACAATATAGAAACAGGTAGCTATCTGAAGCTTTTCATGAAAGTCTCATTGGGGTGGCTGGTGGTGAATAATCTAGGTTAGCAAACACTACAGATTTTATTCTTGGTTTTAATTTTTTCCTCCTACAATGGAGGCGGACGACATCTGAAAGTAGGCAATTAAAACTGAGGCCACGTCCTACATTACAGAAACTACAATAGCATAGTTATGGCACTGTAGCTATGCCGGCATAACCCCATAGTGTAGGCAGCCTACAGCAATGGGAAAGGTTTTTCTGTCACTGTAGAACTCCATCTCCCTGAGAAACATTAGCTAGGTCAATGGAAACATTCTTCCATCCACCAAGCTGTGTCTACACTGTGAGCTACAATGGCACAGCTACAGTGCTTAGGGGTGCGGATTTTTCACACCCCCAAGTGCCATAGCTGTGTCGACCTAAATTTTACGTGTAGACCAGGCCTGACACACAAAGGTGTGCTCAAGATCTGTTTACATAACCAGTTAAAGATCACAGTCGTGTCCCAATCAAATCAGTGTACATGAAATCTGCCTAATGAGGTGTCTCCACTGTTTTTTCCAATTTAGGTAAATTTTATTTCCTTGTTTATTTTCTAGTACCTTCAGGATCAGCTCTTAACTCCTATAAATTGACCTAGTTCCATTAATTTCAATAGAGCTCTGCTGATTTGCCCCAGCTGAGAATCTACCCCCATCAGAATCTTATTTTGGTTTGTTGTTTGATACACATTTCCTTCCTCAACTCCGCCTGTCTTTCTCACATAGACAGATGCTCAGTGTCAAGGCTTTCAGAAGATACAGTATATTCTTAAAAAGCTCTTAAGTCTGATCCACTGAATGCACAGATATTTTTCTAGTTACAGTAAATTCAGGTAAGATCATTACTTTAAAAACATATATATTATCATCCCATCACCATACAATAGTTCTGCCTTACTATTTTGCCATTTCTGACAGCTCTAAGCCTCATCCTTGACAGATTCAGCAAGTTGAATTCCTGCAACACATCCCCTCTCTGCACCATCATCTCTTTGGAAGAGGACAGCGGGATTTCTTCCAAGTGAACAGTGCCAGGATTGGAGGGCGATGAGGAGCCTGAGGAAACTGGAAGCAATGCACCTGTCCCCCATAAGTTGTGCTTGTTTTGGCCAGAGGAATGGAAAGAGCTGCATTGACCTGAAAGCATACAAGATGGCAGATGGTCAGTTCATTTTACATGAGCAGATAGCTGGTCACATTGACTAGGGCACTGAAACAGCTTGTCATTAAAAGTTGGATGATTTTTCATCTGATGTTGCCGATTTGCTATTTATTCACTAGTCCTCATTTCTCCCATTTGTTTACATAGAGGAAAAGAGCATTCATGTATAGTATTTTCTGTGAGTCGTAAAAGTATAAATACTTTAGCACAAGTAAATAAAATCAACTCCCTGAAAATCAAATGCACTAAGAGGTACCTGTTGAAGGTACACATTCGGTCCATAGATTTTCGGGTATAATGAACAATTTTGGTAATATTTATGCCCTAATGATTTTCTCTCATCCCAAACAAAAATTTGCTGCCCTGTAAATGAGCACACATATGCTGTAGCACCCTCTTCTGACCCTCACATGGTTCTGCAGCAGCTGGCCTCAGTTTCCCTTCACCCAGGAGATAATCAATAAGTCCAACAAGGCCATCACACACACCAATGCCCCTACCATATGCTCAGTCTCTTTTGGCCCAGTCTCACATAGAGGTACAAACTCTGCTTTCCTGAATGTTTATCTATTTTGAACCTCCAAATATAGTCTCTCAGGTGTTCCACTGGGCACCACCCCTTCTTTATGAGGCCTATCTATTCCCTTTCACAATCCCTCTCCTCTTCAACTTCCCCAGGTAACACACTCGTCAGCCTCCCTAGCTGCTTATTATTATTTTTCCCTTTGGAGTCCTCTGAATTACTGAGCTCCTCTTCTTGGACCTATGGTCTGTGGATCCTCAAGCCACACCTTCAGAAGGCTTCCCCAACTGCTTCCCTCAGGAGTCCTGTCAGGAGCTCAGCACACCTCAAACAGCTCCCCAGTTACTCTTCTCTGTCTCCAGCTGCAATCCCCAGCTGTTTGATTATTTCTCACACAAAGATCTCTCCCTCTCATGTCCATTCTTCTCTGTCTTATAAAGCCCCGGTATCTTTCCTATCAATGAATCAGCAGCAGCCAGTTGGTCCCAGGCGCCTTCCTTATCAGTCATTTGGGTAGCAAGCAGTCAGTCATAGGTGCCTTCTTTTTCATGCTTTGACATTGTCTTATTTTCCTCTCAAACCAGTTTTACACTGATAAATTTCTGACTTCAGTTGAGTAATTTGGGTTTACATCAATGTTACCAATAGAGTGACCAGATAGCAAGTGTGAAAAATTGGGGTGCTTATTTTTGTGGGGGGGGGCGGGGGAAGGAGAGGGCATAATTGCCTATACAAGACAAAGCCCCTAATATCGGGACGTCTGGTCACCCTAGTTACTAAACAGAAAATCAGACCCTGAACCTTTAAAAATGACCTTTGCAAAACTAACCCAAATTCATTTTCATAATTGACAGTAATGCTATTCTGCTAGGTAGCTAGAGAGAAGAATATTCTTCAATCTTCAAAGAATTTAGCTGTCTAGATCATTATTTGTATTTTCCTCAGCTGTTTCCACGTTAAAACACTCCACACTCCATCACTGAAAAATACTACAGTATTGTAGAACAACTGCTCAAACCAGTAGGATACTACAGAATTTATTTTAAGAGCTGGGTTCAGTTGTTAGATTTTTTTCTGACATCTTTCCCAAAGGAGTGCAACAACTGTTATACAATCACCAGAAAAATATTTTAATGGACCTTCTAAGTAAATTCCTTTGAAAATAATGATGAATGCTGAAATCTAACACGCTTGTTCTTAGCAAAGGTTTTTTTTCTTTTGTACTTGTTGCTTTCTTCATGCTGTGTTTTCTAAGAGGAAGAATACAGTTATGTGAGAGAATAAACGGATCTGCAACTGTCAATCCTGTTTTCTTTTCTTTTTTAAATTAAGCATTTTGATTTGAAGGTAAGTGTTGTTGAAAGTAAGTAGCTACTCAGCCAAGATTGCTCCAGATTTTAAAGATGATGATCAAAAGAGAATACCTCCTTTTGAGTCCAGAATTTTCACTACAGCTTTTGTCCTGGTGCCAAGAATTGCATTCACAGGGGAGTTCAGAACTACTTCAAAGACCTCATCATCTTCCTCTAATCCGTCATAGGTAATTGCTATATTCCACGTCTTGGTTGACATTCCTACCAGAAGTAAACATTTTAATTACTCTTTAATTGCTATTTCAATCAATCTGGGTGTCAAAAAAAATATTAATTAACATGTCTACAGCTAGAATAGAATAGCTTGTGTATGCTATTGTGCTCATACCAACTGACTGGACTCCTGCTGTTCTCCCAAATAACACTAAGAGACCAAATTTGTTCCTGGACAATGATGATTCAGTTCATGTGCATACACTGTAATAAAAAGCTGCCTTAGACTTGGGAAATGATGGCTACAATACATAGATTTAGGGGTTCAGTTGCAATTTTAAAGAGAAATGTGATGCATTCTTTTTATCTTAGAATCTTAATTCTAGAGATGCTACAATTATTTAAAATATTTGCATAACCAATCAAAAATTACACTGACTTTTAGTACTATACTTCAAAAGCCAGATTCTGTTCTCCATTACAAATTTAGATTAATTCGCTGGCTTTAATTGAATTATTTCAGATTTACATCAGTGGAAATGAGAACAGATTCTAGTTCTAACGTAAAGGGTTATTCTGGTTATTAGTTGAAAGACGAATAAATAATCATATGTTAAAAGGCAGTGTGTCATATATATATATATATATATATATGAGGTGACTGCAAAGGTCTTCTTTTAAACAATTCCATTCAGAAAAGTTGAAAAGTTGCCTTTCAATTGGTCAGACCCAGATCCCAGAATGGGCATTATTGTTATATAAACCTCTTGGATTAGTACTATTAACTGACTCACAAAGTTAAGACGGATGTTCCGTATGCATGGAGTAAGATACATATATACAATATTGATTTTTATGCTGCCTCTGTTGGCCTCCCATTTGTTTTCATCTCCATTTCCTAGTTACCTTTCAGTTGCATCTCCAATCTGAGATTATGGGCTCTTTATCTATCCAATGCACACTGAAATCAATGTAAAGACTCCCATTGACTTTGGATTGGCTCATATGCCACCATTAACTTTCATTTGTAATTTATTACTTTAATTTAATGAGTCCATCACAGTGGTCTCTGAGCATGTGTTTTTAAAATACACATCAAATTAGTTCACCAGTGTTAAGTAATTAGACCTCTCCCCACAAATTAAAAATAAACCCAAACACCAGCATCCTCTCAAGACGAAGCCTGAGAAAATAAATGACTGTACACAATACCCTGAACATCAACAGATTTGGGGCTCCTGCCAGTGTAAACCTAGACAAAGGACCTTCAAGGGGGACAATCTACCAGTGGGAAGGGGAATAAGCCAGCATGGAAAGCATGTGTAGGGAGTTCATGCAGTACACGTGAGGGGTGCTGGCTGGAAAAGAGGGGTGGGATATGCTAAATCAGCATATCCCATAGCCTGCCTCCACCTGCAGACCTCTTATGGAATACCACTCAATCTAAAGGAGCCTCAACCTCTGGTAGGAACCCCAGGGAAGGACAACAACAGTAAAGTGGCCTACCCTCCCTCAGGGTGAATCAATGTACATTTCCCTGCACCAAGTTCAGAGCATCTGCTTTCCAGAGTAGCTGGACAATGGAGGGAAGCATACCCCAGTTAAGCGCCCTGCATTGAAAATGCTCTGCCCACAACCTCTAGATGTTTTAATCTAAAGAATGGTAGCTTGAGTGTATCGGCTTATTTTAGGCATTTGGTGAAGGAGAGGTGGCCTCCTAGGTAGTTAGGACCCAAAGCATTTAGGGTGCTTGTTTGTTGTTTTACACCAGTCTCAACATTCCGTATTGCATCTTTTAATTTAAAATAAAAAAGTCTAACGACAAGGTCTTTGGTTCTGCTCTGTTATCCAAAGTATAAGACATCCACTCTTCTGCCAAAACTGCCACAGAGGGAGTGTCCTTAATACAATTTTTAATCTGCTCCTACTCTGTTTCTACTATTCCATCTGTCTCTTCCTGCCTCTCTGTGCTGAATACTCCCGTCAGCCATTGGGAAGAATCAGTGATTTCAGAGGTGTGCTAGGAAAATGAACTAATTCTCCCATCTATTGTGTTTATTGCTTTATGGCCATCGACTCTCCCTAATCTGTCTCTAAAAAAGACCAGAAGTTACTTGTGCTTCCCCATTATGCCAAAGCTGAAACATTTCCAGCTATTTTGAATTTGTTGATTAGTCTTTTAACTGTCACAAATTTTCCTATGTGATAGCCAGGCAAAGACTGCAGTCCTATGGCATTTCTGTAGCCAAAACACTGCTTGCATTGCCTTTTTTCACAACAAAAGCTGAGATTCCAACTGAGAGATTCCCCACTGCAGACTCCACATGGTTGGGTTGGAATTTGCTTATCACCTCCCCCTTATCTTCTGTTTTTCCAGATGCAGATAAGTGCTTAGACTATTTTCCCCATGAAACAAGTGCTGTTTGTTTGAGATTGCCACAGATGATATTTCTAATTTCTTTTATAATTATGGTGATGTTTTGTAATTGAATTCTTACTCCTGGCACCACTGGCATAATCTCCATGGGCATTTCAAGCTGCAGTCTGAACTCTGTGGGCCACATTTCCATTCTACTATGTAGGACTCCATTACATTTACTAGTGTACTGTTAGCTCAGATACTGGCTTAACTAGAGATGGGCCTCAAGCTGCAAACTTCAAATCTGGATCTGGACTCAAACTTCAGACATGTTCATATCTGGGATTTTGGGTTAGCCTTATCTGAAATCTTAATTTGTTATTAACTATACTTTTATGGGAAATAAATCACTGCATATAGTTTTATACAGTGTTTTCTCAGCAGCAATGCAGTACCATATGAAACATCTGAAGAAGTGAGCTGTAGCCCACGAAAACTTATGCTGAAATAAATTTGTTAGTCTCTAAAGTGCCACAAGTACTCCTGTTCTTTTTGCAAATCTACATAGTCTCCCCAGCTACATGAGCAGCTTGATACAGTCAAGAAGATGCACTTTGTGTTTGGAACTACGGTGAGAAGTTAATTTTCAGTCGTGGTAAAAGTTCAGGACATTTATCATCTCAGTAGGAAAGTGCGGTAGGGAAGCTGTGTGAAGTGCATCACAAAATTCAAATGGCAAGTCAAAAATGTGTAGATGATAGTAGTCATATTGTTCTGCAGCACTTCTTCCATTTCTGTTATTCATTAAACTACCATCCTGTACTTCTGCAAAGGATAGCAGATAAGCATCTATCTTTTAAAAAGAGCACAGTGAAAACTACATCATCTCACTTCAGAAAATAAATATTGTGTCTGCCATTTGGAGTTCTCTTCTGTGAGCTACATTAGAAGCAATTGTAGGGAGTCCCTCCACACAATTTAGTATTCAGACACAAATGATAAAAATATGAAAGCCCTCAACAAAGCTTCCATTATGCTTGGCAGTAATTGCCACATTTGTTGGTGCTCTCAGCAGAGAAATGATAGGAGATGGAGACTGATCAGTCCATTGAGTGGTTTGCATTTAGGGTGGGGAAGATTGCACTGGCAAAGACCCTGCTTTACCTTTTCAATTGATAAGTTAAAACAGTGGGTCTCAACCAGGGGTCCGGGACCCCCTGGGGGGCTGTGAGCAGGTTTCAGGGTAGGGTTACCATACGTCCGGATTTTCCCGGACATGTCTGGCTTTTTGGGCCTCAAATCCCCGTCCAGGGGGAAATCCCCCAAAACCGGACATGTCCGGGAAAATAGGGAGGGAGGGCTCGGCAGTGTTCCTGCGGGGCCGGGCCGGGGCCGGCGGTGCTCGGCAGGAGCCGGGGGCGCGGTGCCGGGCTGGGGGCGCGGTGCCAGGCCGGGGGCCGGGCCGGGAGCTGGGGGCGCAGTGCTCGGCCGGGGGCTGGGGCCGGGGGTGCAGGCACTTGGCCGGGGGCCAGTGCCCCAGGGCCCGAGCCAAGCCGGGCGGGAGACGCGGGGCCAGAGCCTCTTGGCCTGGGCCGGCCGACCGCCGGAGGGAGCCGCTCGGCCAGGGGGGCTGGACTGGGCCGCGCTGCACCCTGCCCCAGCCCCAGCTTACCTGCTGCCTCCTCCCTGTTTCAGGCTTCCCGCGAACATTTGATTCGCGAGAAGCGGGGGAGGGGGAGGAGCAGGGGGCGGAGCGTTCAGGGGAGGGGGCAGAGTTGGGGCGGGGCCGGGGCCCCATGGAGTGTCCTCCTTTTTAAAAATTAAAATATGGTAACCCTACAATAGATGAACCCCAATCCCCAAATCTCTTTGAATCATTCCTCTGTGATATCCAGCCTGACACTGGCTACTCACAGAAATCCCAAATCTTCTGCAACCGAAGGAAACAGTGTGACCCAGTTTAGTAGTTTTACATTAAATCACTGCTCCTGTTTAACTGTGAGCACTTATAAATCAACTTACTTTCGTTTTATTAAGAAAGAATGGAGAGTTAACTAGAAACAAGAGAGAGAAGACTGGTAGAAACTCATTTACAATACGAAACAAAATCATAAAGCGTGAACCTGGGTCTACACTTAAGTTACCGTTCCTATCTAATAAAGTAGTTTTCTCCTCAAAGTTCAGGCTGTTGCAGAGCTGGCTGGCTGGAATCAGGATCCAATTTTTCAGGAGAACCAGGATGTCTCCTCAGTGAAAGGATGTAGAGTATCTTTCCCCCTCCTCTGTTATACTGAAATAGTCTTTTGTCTTTATTCATAGACAGGGCAAACTGGTCTTCTGTAATCTTCCTTTTTTACCTCCAAGCGGCTTTGATTGTTTGCAGTTGTCTGATGGTTTTCCATTGATAGTCTTGGGAAGGAATAAGGCTAGACAACTGAGCCTTGCATTACCTCACTGGCTAAACATGGCAGGATGACCGCTCCTTTTCGAATCGGCCATCATCAAGACTTTTTATCTTCTGGTGACAAACTTCTACTCCAAGTCCATAAAGTATACTTTCCATATAGTTACATTATTCCTTATTACCTGTACATACATCTCACAATGATTGTCTTGATAGTCATAAGCTTTATGTAGATACCTTACATATTACTTTTTATGGGTAAATATACTGCAAGACATGTTTGGTGTAATGAATTTGTCAGCTCTGAGAGTTGTTTGCAAAGAATAGGGGACCGTTTGACACTTTAGGCCAAGTTTAAAATTAGAAACTTTTGCTGGTATAGCAATTTTGGTTAGGGGCATGATTGTGTTGCACCATTTCTATACCTGCAAAAGCCCTAGTTTAGATGTAGTTATATTGGCATAAAGTGCTTTTGCTGGTATAATTTATTTTGCTTATCAAACTTGTATAAGCTATACTAACAAAAGCATTTTTTTTGCCTGTGTAATTTGTATGCATGTGCCCTAGGAAGATTTTTATAAGAATATACCTGTGTAACTATACCAGCAAACTGTTTTGAGTGTAGACTAGAATTTAGTTTACAAAAACATAATTTTACAAACAAAATGTATTTTTCACCATATAAACTGTTTGGCAAAGCTGGGTGAGAAGCATAAACAATGAAATCAGAGTAGTTAATTTCACTTCTATTTCTCGTTAATTTCACCTTTGGGTTCTCTTTCACTAGTAAAAAAAATGCTATCACATTTAGTTTTAAAATACAGCAGAGGGATGTTTAAATCTCTGCTTCTCTACAAACTAGTATTTTATTTAAAAAAAAAGAAGAAAAAAACATCATGGAAATATTTCTGTTCCTTGTGTTTTGAAAAATCATATTGAATGTATAGCAAAGCCCAAATTTTAGATTTGGACTAAGGCTCCAATCCTCTACCCACTTATTCAAGGCTTACTTTTATAAAACTAGTCCTGTTGACTTCAGTGGAACTACTTCCATTGTCCTTAATGTTTAGTGCATGTGTGCTTGTAAGATGGGGCACCTCATTTGAGTGTCTTTTGAATGGACATTATGTACATACATCAATAGGAAAAGAAAAATGTAAATGTTGGGGAAAGAAATTCTAAATATATGACTTTGCCTTTGTTGCAACTAATTTCTAACCCTCTCACTATCACTGCTCATTTCCTGTTAAGCACAGAGGTGAAGGGGAATTTTATCTGGATCAGAAGGGGGAAACAAAAGTTATAAATTAACAAAATGACTAGGTACATATGTGCACCCTGTCACTCTCAGGGGGAAAAGACATGAGCATTGTCTCCTGACCTATAAATCATTTGAGAAAGTAATTTTCTGTGGGAGTAAAGGTGACGAGACTGTGATGGTGGTGGGAGGGCATTTCTAATTTTGTTTTCCACAGTACAGTTTTGCTGTTGCTATGACTCATCTTAGGATGTGGAAAAACCCACAAGTTAAAAACAGAAGTTAAACAAACTTGCAGGTAAATTTCTATTATTTATAGCAGTAGTTCAGTATTCAGGTCCATTCTGGCAGGATTTAACTCTCCCTTGTAGAATTCCCACAGCCAGTAGGGCCCTAGCTAGGCGCGGCCCTAGCTGTTGTTAGCCCTAGTGCGGGAGCACCCACAGGCTTTGGGGTCCTGCTGTGTCAGGCGCTGTACAAACGCTGAGGGCTCAGGAGCTGTTCCCGCTTGTGGGCATGGCTCACGCAAGCCACAGGACAGTCTCCTAGCCGGGCCCAGGCAGAGAGCTGGGGGGCCGGTACATCCCCCCCTCGCGGAGGGGCTCCCCTTGCACCCCCGGTTCCCCCAGTGCCCCTCTGGGCGGCCTGTGCCCTCCCTGAGCGAAGCCTCAACAGGCTTGGCGCCGCCGTGCTCCCTCTCCTCGGGCCGGACCCCTTCGCGCCCCGGGGGTGTCTGTCCGGGCTCCCCGGGCCCGTGGGCTGGGGCGGGCAGAGCCACCCCGGCTGGAGCCGCCGGGGAGGGGGCGCGCCCCCGCCCTGCCTCCACCCCCAGCTCTGGGCCCGGGCCAGGCCGGCGCGCGCTCCCGGGCGGCAGGGCCTGCGTGGCAGCCGGGGTGGCGCGCGCCCGCGTAGGGGGAGGGAGCCGAGCAGGAGGCGCGGGCCCGGGTGGGGGCGTCGGGAGCGCGCGGCGAAGTTGTGTCCGGGACTCGCTGCCGCGGACTCGGAGCGGGGCTGCGGGACTCGCCGCAGGTAAGGGGCCGCCGCGCAGCCCGGGGCTCGTCCCCACGTCCCCTGCTCCCGTGGGGTCACCCTGGCCCCGCGGCGGGGCCCTCCCGGGAGGCAACAAGTGTGTGAGGGGGTGTGTTCTGCTGTGTGTGTGCGTGTGGGGTGTGCTCGCTCTGTGTGTGTGCCGTTTGTGTGTGTGCGCGGGGGTGGTGTGTTCTCTGGGTGTGGGGGGTGGTGGTGGTGTGTGGTGTGGTGTGCTCTGCGTGTGCGCCGTGTGTGTGGTGTGCTCTGCGTGTGCGCCGTGTGTGTGGTGTGGTGTGCTCTGCTCTGTGTGTGCGCCGTGTGTGTGTGTGGTGGTGGTGTGCTCTCTGGGTGTGGGGGTGTGTGTGTGGTGGTGTGGTGTGCTCTGCTGTGTGTGTGTGTGGTGGT